TCATTTCACAAAGCTTTTCGATTTACTCCTGGGTTCAAAGCAGTGAGTTACATCTCTTAGATGTAAATTTGGATGAAATATTTGCAATGTTATTTCATCCTAATTTATTTTATTCTTATTTTTTTCATTCCTGCACGTCATTTTTGGCATTTTTTTCCATCTCATGTTTATTTAATTAACCAACGTTTCTTTTTCTAACTGGAGAAAATCCGTTTGAAGGACCGATTTTTAACATTTTCCTGCCTTTTTTCATTTTTTTTCTTGTTTCGGATAACATTATTTCCTTCCTTTTTTTCATAATATTTACGATATGTTTATCTTTGCTTAAATAAACAAGCATCCTAATTTATTTTATTATTACTCACTATCAAACAGTACCAGTAAAATAAAAAACGATGCGAAATTTGAATACACCTTTCCGCCATTTGCATGTTATCCATAATTGCTCGAAACTAAAGTTATCAAAGTTTTGTAAAGCATAAACTTAAATTCCATTTTGTCATAAAGCAAGGACAATTAATATTTTCTTAAGAGCATTATTAATAAAAGTTAGTTTTGACATACGTTTTGAGCTAAAATTTGTCATTTTTTTCTTTTTTTTCACTTCAAAAGAGCAAAATATTTTGCCAAAGATCATAAATTAATATTGCAGAAATAAGAAAAATAAAGTATTCCCTAATTTCAAAGAACTTCAAAACTGTTTCGTTTCAGTCCTTCAGTGATTGATTTCATTTGAGATTAGCGTGATTTAAAGGGAAAAAAACTAGTATATTGGAACATCTCGATAAGATTGTTATATGACTGCTCCTCGAATACTATAAATATCCATTGGCGATCTCAAATCCTATCATCCATTATCGCAGTCTGATTTTTTTCCTTGGCATGAAGCCGCGTTAAAAATATCTCGCAGTATATAAATTCTATTCCCAAAGCATCATCCTAAATAGTTTAGCTTTTGGAAATTTTTAAGAGGAAAATAATGAGCTTTGAAAAGCAAGAAAAACAACAATTTGATCTTAAATCATTATTTCGGCCAACATAAAGAACACTCGCGAAATATACGAAAGGCAACCGAACAAAATATACGATTCAAAAAATTCCCCCTGTAATTTGACCATCTGAATACAGTTTAGGAATGTAATAAACTGCGTTTAATATTCACTTCCTCAATCATTCATTATTCATTCCACCGTTTGCAATCTATTTGGGTCGACGGATGGATAAGGAAGAATGAATGAAGCAAAAAAGAGTCATAAAAATGTTTGATAGGATATTTACAATGTTTTGGACGAAATGCCTCTTTACTTTACTATCTCGATAGCGTTTTCCATCAGCAGTGCAGCAGGAAAGGAATTATTGTAGAGAAATACTTTTATTGATTATCGGAAAATGAGTTGACCCCTGCGATCTGTTTCGAATTGATAACAATCCCATTTGTAAGACCAGCGATTTAAACGTCGGAAGCTCAATCCTGTTTTGGTTGCATTTTACAGATAAGATGTCAAGCTGCAATTTAATAATTGTAATTTCAATCTAATTGGCATAATTCCTTTTTTCGGAAATTCAAATTCGGAAAAGAAAAACAAATTCAATAATCACATTGCTTGCATTCCAGCGTTCCTTCAATAGGCGACACCGTCCATTACTCTCGCTGGAACGATAGTTGCTGTCACTTAAGAATTTAGAAAATTCTGATTTATAGCAGCAACAGCATCAGTTGCCTTCCAAAGCTTCATTGGCTTTTTTTGCCCATTCAATAATGAGTGAAATGATATATTTGAGGATTTGTTAGTGCTGCCACACCACTACATTACCGCATTAAAATATCCTCAATTCCACAGGAAAATAAATTTTCGTCAAAATAAAAATTTGGAAAAAAAATCTCACCATTTTATAAATGCTTTCACAACACATCTGCTAATCGGAACCGTGCATTTAAAAAGTAACTGTAAAAACATATGCATCAATCATTTTATTCAATCAGATTTGAGAGTATAAATATTTGGGAAATAGCGGTGGAGTGAATTTGGAAATAAGCAAGTGGATTCATTATCTGACAAACAAATTTTGTTAGCATTTAGTTTGTCCATTGATGATTTTTTTTCCTTGGAATTAACAAGCCTATTTATTCTCTGTCCTGAACTGTTGTTGCGGAAAACAGAATTCGTTCACTAAAACACATTGTCAATATCCAAAAGACTTTCTCTCACTGCCACCACATTACACTAAAATATTGTTAAATGTGTCACCTCCTTCTTCGGTTCCACAAAATTGTTACCTATTCATATTTTAATGAGCAAAAAATATTCTCGATCTTTCTGAATGAAAAAGAGATAGAAACAGCTTGGATTCATTTAGCTCCACACTCATATCAGTCATTTATTAGGAGTGTAAACCGATGCGTCAAGGACAATAAAGACAATTATTAACATTGACAAACGTTAATTGCTAATTAAGTGATATCTAACCGAACATTAATTCAGATAGTGCTGTAGTCAAAAAACAACATGGGGAAGAGATTTGAAGAATGAAGAAAAGGAAGAGATCTGCTAAAAGTATCCTTGAATCAACAATTCGAAAAGCGATTAGCCAAAGAAATTGAAAATAAGGAAAAAGAAATTAATTGATCATTTTTTAAATTCAATGATATCGGTTGGTTGTTCGTCGTGAACTATTCTCTTCCTCCTACAATGTCCACAGTTAGATGCAGTGCAGCACTAACCAATTATACTAATGCTTATTTCCACTTAGAGTAAAATTTATAGCAAAAATACCATCAGATTATATACATACTTCGACCTCTTAATAAATGAGCTTACGCTTGGCTGAAACTATTCATAGCAGCTAACGATGGAACTGCCAACATTAACATTTAAATTTAAAAGTTTGAAAATATACAGATGTGCTTACATACGAGAGGAGCGTCACAATGGGATGTATCGAAGACACGAAGTGGTGATAGAAAAACTGCAACTGAAGTGTCGAAAGAAGCGAAGAGAAACCCAAAGAAGGTCATTCTTCAAATGACCCTAAATGTAATGGATGAAACTGTTAGCAAATGGGGCTTATTGAGAAACCATCTAACCAATCCCCTTACTCATTTAAGTTTATTCTAGTCGCACCCAATTCATTAATCATCTCCCATTTTCATCACTACTTCCATTTCATAAAATATTCATTCCTTTGCCACTTGCTTCTCAATATGCTATCTGATAACATGCTTACTTTTGCATGTCGCAGTTGCTATTATTTCAATACATTTCCATTGCAAATTTAATTGCTTGATCGCAAGTAACAGCATACTTTTACACCTTATCAACGGCCATCTCCTCACCACAAAAATCAAGGTTTTTTTATGAAGATGAAATAGACTAAGTCCTAATCGATGTGATGTTTGTAATTAATTTGAATAATATTAATTAAGAAACGAAATATAGTTTATCAAAACAGAATGCTAGTGATAACGACGGGAAGAAGAAAAGGGAAAATTTTACCACACAATTAGTAACTACTGAAACGCAAAAGACCAGCCTTAGCAACGAACGTGATAGTAACGAATCAAAACTCAGGTAAACTTAATTTTAGATTTAATTTTGAAACAATTTTTTTGTTCAAAAATGAAGCACTTAGAAATGTGTGTTTTCTTACATTTTTCTGAACATCTTTTAGGAGAACGAACAATCATAACAAAAATTCAAAACCAAATGGATTAAACGAAGTAAGAAAACAGAGCCTTCTTTTTGCGCTTTATCACCAGTCAATTTGCAACAGTTAGTAATGACTACAAATAAATATCCCGATAGTGCAAAATTAAAAAAGAATGACCATATGTTTGGTAAGATTCATGGTTACTCTGCAGTTAGCAAATGGACTGAAAAAATTGAAAAAAACAAAATGAACCATAGCCCTCATTAAAATCATTATTCAGAAAAACCAGCAGTTAGCGAACTCATTCATTGCGGAATTCACCCAGAAAAGCATATCAAAGAGTGGAATAGCATCATCTACTTGTAAAAAAAGCGAATCAGTGATACGTGATAACACACTTGAAGATATACCGCGTGATATGCCAAAATACGATTCCTAACAATAATTTCTTAGCTCCATTCACACACAGAAGTAAATGTCGAAAGAAATCTCTTTTCAGCTAATTTTTCCGAATAATTGTAATTTGATTAAAACGATATGTTACAAATATGGAACTTTCCGACTTTCAACCCAAAAGAAAAGTTTACTGCAACGAACGATTTATCAACATTAAAACACCACCAAATGGCTTTTTATTTACGGTCACCTTAATTTTGTCTTATTAAGAGAAGCAATTCCAGATATAAGACCAAAAAGTGATGGACATAAAAATTAATTCAAAAAATTAATCAGCGCACAATGGCGCTCGATCCTGAGCCATCTTCTAAATGTCGATGAACCATTTCTTCTTTGGAAATCAAGTGGGATACCTGAAAATTGGATATTTGGAAAAAACAATCAATTAGCTAATGTAGTGCGGAATCTTCATCTCAAATTTAAGCACAAAATAAAAAAATAATAAACTGGATTACACAAGCCAATTTTTATATAATTCTACCTTTGTTTGATCTGCGATAATTATGCAAAAGATAAAAAAGAGAAAAAAAAACAAACAATAACCTTATTAAGGATATCGGTTAGTTTTCGCACCGAACTAGCCCATTGATCTAATTGTTCAATATTAGCTTTTCGAGCCCGCAAATTGACAACCTTAGCTGGACGGTGAATTTTTGCATCAGGAATTGCACCCGTAACGATGAGATTGCATAAAAAACTTTCCATTTCCTCAAATCATTCAAAAATCATTTTAATCTATTAACCAATGCAAAGCGATACATTAAAATTTCATCTTACAATGCCATTTTCAGCGTAATTAAAATTTCTGCGTATATCACATCACACTTTTTTACATTATTGCAGAACGCATAGAACTGCATATGCACAGATATCATTTATACAGTCCAAAACGTTCTACAATAATGTAAAAAATTTATGTACCTACCTCAACGGGATAATCGAGTAATTCAGCCATACGCGCAAATGTTATTTTGGTATAGTACTTCGCAATCATACGCATATTCTGCAGAAAATATAATTTTATAAAAAAACCACTTCCTTTATTTGTTTTAAGAAAAGTCAGGTTATGGATAAAGCAGATAACTAAAAAACGCCGAAGCGGAAATAATCTTAAATAAAATCCGCATGATAAATCTAACAATAAATCATTCTCAAATCGTGTAAGTTTTTATAAAAGATAATGTTCAATCCTCCAGAAAAGAAAACAGTAAGCTAGAAGGCTCTTACATGCTCACCAACACGAGTATGCAAATCAGACCAGCGTTTGTTTCCACTTTCACTACGATCAAGAACATCAGTGGCTTTGCTAGTCGGAATACCATCGCGTAAGAGTTTTTCATATTTACTTATTGTTCTCTGTAAACAACTAATAATTACAGATAGCCTGATATACAGTAATCCAGAGATGTCAGATAATATTGATTATTTCGAAATACTGTAAAACATGTCGAAGGCACTGAGAAATTCCCATATCTACAACTATGGGTAAAGGATTTAGCAAGGAAACAAGTATTTTTCTCAATAAATCGCTATAAGTAAAATACCAAAGAATTATTAATTTTCATTAGATAGGTTTCATACATACTTTCCATGAAATCAGTTCCTGATTAATAAACAGTTCAAGAAGTGAATTATATTCCGGAATAAGTTCTAGCTGCCGTCCTTCATGAATACGGTGCAGCAAATCCCATTGTTCATTGTTGTGTGGAGAGAGCAACACATACAAAACAATACATTTGAGAATCTAAAAAAAATACAAAATATCAGCTCCGAAAAACCTGCATTCTTAATGTTCGACGAAAACTGACTTGTTTTGATTTTTCTTGATCAGCCTGCACACAAGGTGAATCTAAAACAGCTCGGTAATATCGACATACATCCAGATAAGCACTTTCGTGTAAACCAATTTTGATCATTAGATCATAATATTTCAATTTCAATTCTTGTACCTTAAAATAAAACTTCGAATTACTTCAACAGGAAAATAACATGTTCCGTAAAGAGAAAATATGCACAACAGTTGTAGACGAAGACATCTGAAAAAGATTTATGCAAAAGTCAAACGCATCTCACTTGATTCACTGTTAGTAACAATAATTTCAATGTCTTTATTGGTAAAAATGTGACATCTTTCTAACTTACGTGCAGCTTCCAAAATATCTATATTATCTCTTGGAACATATTGTCCCGTATCAGAATAAAATAATCAAAATATGCTTTATGACATTATTGCAAATATGCACAACAGGGCTCATTAAGACAGATAAATAATCCCAAATTAATCGTGAAAAATTTACCTCTTCTGATTTGTTTTCGAAAAAACGAGTGGAAACCTTTTTGCACAAAATTGACGCACAAATAAAATCTTTTTTCAATATGCACAGGCGCATTTGTTCTAAGATGAATTCTACCTAAAAAGAAATGTGAATAAGAAAAAAAGAAAGTATTCCAAAAAAGAATCCGAAAGCAAATTTTTAATAAAGAAGAAAGAAACTTGCTTTTTCTTTCAGTTCCATAGAGCCATAAGTTTCCACCTGCAGTTCCAAAAGCATTGTCGTTGCCTCATCAAGTTTACCTTCTGATTCTAATTTTTTTACAAGACGACCAGTTAGCCGAGCTCTCTCAACTTCGACATATATCTAGAACAATTGAGAAAATAAAATTACGCTAAAAAATAAACCATTATGCCTTTTTTCCATCACGCAAATCCTTACCAATACCTGTTTTTGCTCATGTATGTTTTGAATTTGAAGCAAGTTCTGAAAATTCCACAGAGACAAAAATTGAAAGTGTTGCAAGAAACCTTTCCAGCGGTAACATTTCTTAAAGTTTCAATAAACTTGTCTCGAATCTGTTCATTCGGTGTTTTTTCGATCATTTCACAACAGTCGCGTACCTAAACAATATGCTGAAGATCAAGAGTTCTTAGATCGTGAATTTAAGAAATGAAATCACTTTCAATCTTCCTCTACTGTTGAAAATCTTATTTTCCTTTATTAATTTCACAACAATCACTTATTCAACTCAGAAATGAACATGCAAATTCATACCATTTTAGCTATTGCTTGTTTGATTATTGAACGCTTTTTAGATAACATCAGAACAGTATCATTTAGCAATGTCCAGTCGCCTCCATCAAAGCACAGCTTTACCATATGTTGAACAATACGTGTATTTGATTTCATATCCGATCCAAGCCTCGTTGATTTCTCCAAACTTGATAATGAATCTAGCGCCGCTGGCAGATTACCACTCTACAATTCATTTTTATCATATTCCGTCTTGAATGACAAATATTACGAAGAAACATTTTCAGTTGCATTCGCACATCCTCTCACTTTTATCTAGTTGCACGATAAAAAAGTTCCTTCTCTTCTTCACCTTCCGATCTCATAAACTCTTTTTCATCAACACTACAACTTAATCCAGTTATGAGCAAATTTTACATTTACTTGAAACTTCTAAACAAATACTTCACCCGCGTTCGGTACTACCCAAGCTGTGGCCCCCATTTGCTAATTATTAAATTATGAATTTTGTGAGTATCATTACTATCATTGTTACACCTACAGCATAACTACACTGCGATTTAATAATCAGCAAAAATTTGCGAAATAATTTGATAAACTAGATAACTGTTTAAATATTAGTGTTTTCAAATAACCTTAGCAATAGCATCTGCTTTAGCTAATGCTTCATCGGTCTGTTCTGTATAATCCACTTCCATTTTGAAAAGCCGTCCATCTCCTTCCTGCAATCAATTCGCTTAACAACAAAAATAGCAGGAACTTCTAAACTAAATTCCTTTTTTTACTACATCTCATAACTAGACACTGTAACCAGCTAATATGCCATTATAAAAATAAGTAGTGCTATTCAATCCTTGAAATACTGGCTTCTTAATAAGACACATATTATCTCGCCAAATTTGATAACCTGAACGGCCAGATTTGCGTAGTAATTAGTAGGTTGGGATGATGACAGTTTAGAGTTATCCGAGCGTATTGGAGAAACTTTGCGTCCTTCCATTCCTGCAAATGAGAGCATATTAATTAATGACGCCATGGTTGATATGAATTTTTACTTCCTTAAATACGTCAAATATTTGGCAGGAATCTCTGTGAAGACCTGTTCCTGTTCTAAACTGAAGTGGATCAGTTCCCAACTGTTTTTTCTTCGACGGCTGAAATCACGTGACAACGACACTCTCCCTCTTTTAGTCTCTGCAACTGCTAAATCCCTCAAAAGTCTTGTTAACCCTAACCCGATCTTCAAATGACACACTTCTCTCACTTCCAATTTCTCTGTACGACACGCGCTACGATCATTCGCCAACTTTCCCATATTTCTTTTGCCAATTCTCTTTGCTTGCACCTTCCCCAAATACCACGCTATTGTCTCTAGCCCGTGCTCTCTGGCAACCCTCGCGACCTCTACTCTATGTACTTAACGCGATCTTTTCCAAGCATCAAGCATCTGTCTCATTCGTGCAGTCGATATGCTACAATGACGAACGAGTAAAGGACGCTATGATACTCGGTATCCTACAAGGTTAATTTTCTCTGGAATTGATCGGGAAAATTTCGCAGCATTTTGCTTGATTTCAGTGGCTGCGAGTGTCGCTAATATGGGAAATATTTGCATTTTCATTTCAACTTCCTTTTTTGTAATTGAAATGACATTAACTGTGTAGTAAAAGTTTAAAAAAAGTGCACAAATTCTGTCAGTGTACGTCGTTTTCAATTGATCGCAAACGGCTCACATGATTTTTTCCGTTTAATTCCAGGTAATGGTACCGAATCCAGGTGATTCATTGAATGAGTCAACATCGGTAACTAACGAATCCGGATGTGGGAGCAAACTTGACGACAGAATGAATGAGCAGGATTGGGTAATCTTTGTGACTACTTTAGGACAATTGAACATTATAAAGATACTCTACAAATGTTCTTTCATCTTTCCTTGATGCAAATTCATTTGATGTGTGGTTTATAATTTTAACACCAAGAATTGTTTCAAAAAAGTAAAGTTCAAAAAAGTATTAATTAAATAGATCAGAGCTGATGTAAACTGTAAAAGGTCTTTTACAGATAGTAGGTGATTTGGTCTATAATCTCCATAACTTTTCTGCTTAATAATCGTTTAGATATTTCCAGGAAGAAGAAAAGATGAGTGAGGCCAAAAATTTGAAAGTAATTAGTGATGAACTAAAAGCAAAAGGATGTCCTCTTTTTGGTGGCAAATATTGTGATAGATTATCCAAGGATATCAGGTAAAGAGAGTTTTCTGAAACATCAAGAATTCAAATTCTTGTGGAAGTTTATTTAGCAAGCTAATTTTGAGTCTCATTTTGAAAAAAAGTTTAAATTGAAAATGATTTTCAAAATTAATGGAACAAATTAAGGAGAAAGGCAGGTGCATTAGAAGCGCGACTTGATAACCTCATTAGTGGACCAGTTACTACTCCATTTAAGAATGATACTCGAAATGAACTGCGCTTATTGATTGCTCAGGGTTTAACAATCGCTACTTTCAAAGACGAAAGTATGGGCTAGTTTTTCTTTTAGATCCAGTTTTGAAACTAAAAAAATAAAAGAAAAGAAATCCCTTTGTTGTGGGATTGAAAAAATTTATCACTGAAACTCTAATCCAGAGTTAAACCAAAAAGAATAATTTGGCTGCTAATAAGGCCAATCACTTTTTAGATTTCCCGTTTGTGGCCTTGTTTGGTTATTACCACTCAAAAAAACATATTACGTTAAATAACGGGACAATCCAGCTCTTGATGCGATAGGATTTCCTTGGAAAAATATATCAAGTCAAAAGTTAACAGGACCTGACAAGTTTAGACCGAAAATCTAAGATATGATGGATGTAACCGTATTCGATATCCTTATATTTTATTTATTTGCAGTGAAAAAATATGATTTTTCCTTGAAATGTAATGCAGTTTGGTCAGCTGATGCTATTGCATATCGATGTAACACATGCGCATTCAATCCATGTATTATTTTATTTATTTTTGAAAACTGATTATTACTTAGTTAACCAAATGGTGGGTTAAACGAGATATTAATGAATCCATAGGTAATCGAAGTTCAGTCATGTAAACTTAGTGAAAAGTGCCCAGTAGCCATCTTTATTGGTGTATTTCATCAAGCAGTTAAATAATGTCAGTTATTTTTTTTACCGCTCCCAGATGAATTGCAAAAAATGAATTTAAGAACATTTTCAGGTATGTCTTTATGTAGCAGTTGCTTCAAAAATTCAAACCATGAAGGACATGATTTTAATCGTTTCTTTTCACAAGCTGGAGGCGCTTGTGATTGTGGAAATGTGGATGTTTTAAAAGAATCGGGGTATTTCTTTACTAGTTTTCCTTACTTTGAAAATAATTGACACCTAAGGCCTACTTCAGTTTATTATAGGTTCTGTTTTCGACATGGACCAAGTGCACGCCGTCCACCCGTTCCTTCTCCGAATATTGTTTCTCTGGGAGAATTTATTATTCCAAAGCTCTTCGTTCGATTATTCCTATGTTTTCGGGGTTGGGTAGGTTAACTTTTATTTTTTCTATTAATTTAAATTTAAAGAACGCCGTCATTGGTAATTAATTTAATCAGTAATGTTAGAATTTGAAATATTAAAAGAACTGTATTTTCTGTAGATTGTGAGGCGAGAGCATTATTTTTCTTTTACCTGAATCAAAACTTTGTTTTTCTGTGAAGTATGCATAATATCAGAAAAAGACAAAAGAATGGTATAGGACAATAACTTGCTTGTTTACAAACTAATTTACAGACGAAACAGTACAATGCTTGTAAAGATGGTTCCAGTAAGGAAAGTTTCAGTAATCATATTGTTAATCGAGCACATGTTTTGGTTGAACTAATTCAGGTTATTTCATTATTGATATTCCAAGATCTAATCTCAAAATTTTAGATTCCCTTACTGATATCTAATCATTCTTCAACGTATAGTGTTGTGAAATGTAGCAAAATATACTTACTACTAACTAAATAGGTGGTATGGGATAGTTCAGTCTTTCATCGGTTTCTCGCAGTAGTCGGATTATACGTTCTATTATCATATTTTTTATTAATTAACTGGATTGTTTTGATAAATTTTTGATACACTTTGGACTGTTTGGCATGCACTATTGGACATGCAAACACTGTTCCACTTATATTTAATACCAAAATTTGCTTTACGTTTAGGAGTTAGTTGATTGCGGTGGTCCAATCCGCGATGTCATCATCAAAAATTTATTAGACCCTCAGTTATATCACGATTTGAATAAGCGCAATGCCGATGATGATATCAGAGGTAGAAAATTTGCTGTTGATTTATCGATTATTCTAATAATTTCTATTACTATCTTAAGGACAGTTTCCAATTGTTGGAGTTCACAGATTCTAAGATTCCTTATCATCCTCCGCTTAACGGCTCTCAGAAATAACATATTTCGTTTGATCAAATCACAGATTCGAACCGCTCACTTTTCGAAAAACAAATACGAAGTATATAATGAATGCGTTTGCCTATTCGTCAATTAATCCACTAGCATTTATTCACGGTATTTTGAAACTCTTGTTAATTGTATATCGTAAACACTTATTAAATAATTGTTATTTTCAGAGCATGATCGAAGTCCTGATTTTTCCCTGGATTGGCGGACACGTGGCCTGTTTCTGGAAGATCTTCGGTCCTTGAAACCAATTGTCAGTTCAAGTCAGACTAATGCCTGCTATGAGCCAGAATGTTTATTAGATGAGTTGATATTCTGGATGGTTCGACTCATATTTCCTCAAATAATGATCAATCTATGTCTAAGTTTACTGTCGGATGTCAGCTACAGGGTTTGACTATTTTTTTAATTTTTTAAATGATCTCCGTTAAATAAATATGAAAGAAAATCAATAATTAATTGAAACTTTGTCAATTTAGATAGAGTTTCAGGATGTTTTTGCGAGACAGTTTTTCTCATTATATCTTTGCATGGCTGAAATTTTAGTTGATTTATCTAAGCGTGAGGATGATAGCGCTATATATGCTGTTGGTAGTCGTATTATACATATTTCTATACAGGTATTTGAGTTTCATGTGTTTTTTAATTATGAAAAAAAAGTTGTGGTAGTGTATGTACGAAATTTCATTTTTAAAAAAAAAAACTGCAAGTTCAACGACTATAAAATTTTAATATAATTTACTTCAATTTGATTAAGCTTATGCTTTACAGATTCTTTCCAGTGAAGCCCAATGCCTTAAATTAGATGATGAAATTAACCTGAAAGATAAGATAATTTCAAGTGCTTACGGTGTTTTAAGAACCGGTGTTCAAAAATCTACAATAACGCAAGGTTCACTTTTATTCTGAATATATTTGATAAATATTTTAAGGGATTTGTTAAACTTATGTTGTGGAGCACATTTTGTAATATTGGGATGCATCCACAACATTCTTTTGAGCGCTTAGTGGTATGAACTTATGTTAGTCAGTCATTATACTACTGTGTAAAATTTCACATTTTTAGCGTGTGAATATTTCTATGAAAATACTCCACCGCCGATTAGCGACGATAAACTGTTCAAATGGCTTGTATACTCCGTGGGTGATGCTAATCAACCGTTACGTAAAGCTTTATACTGGACGTTTGTTAGTGATTTACAGAATTTATTAACGCATGGAGAAATTGCGCGAAGATTTTTCCGTGACCGGAAAAGCATGGAAAATTATATGGCTTTAATAGCACCTATGCAAGGTATTCACTTGGGATCATATCAGCTTCACAGAGAATTCCTGAACTAGAATAGAACAAAGTGTGGGAAGATAGGAAAATAGGAAAATGAAAAATATAAGATGGAATTAGAAAATCATATTGAAATATGAATTGAATATAATGTTTCAGTTATAGCAAATTAAGTAAAAGTTAAAGTTATTGCAGTTATTTGATGTCAGATTACTTCATGATATTTTTAAATTTGATATTTTAAAATATCATGATAATGTAAAATAAAACTCTCATAAGTTTAGGAATGAACCTAAATTATCGAATAATCGTTGGTAATCATCTGGAATATGACATCACTCACCCGTATCAGGTACTGTTGATATGCCTATCACATCTAATTATGATTTTTGATGGCATTATTTTGTGAGTTAAAAATGTCATTTAAATTTCATCGGACTTATTTTAGTTGGCATTTCATCTTGAGTGGGAAGTCTCAGCTCTCAATATGTTCAATACTTTAGCTGCATTGACAGTCGAAGTTGAATGCATGAATATTTATCTCCTTCAGTGGAAAACCATTTTGGAGGTTTGTTACTCTCGAGGGGATTTCGTTCTTTCTGAGTTCATAATAAGTGGAAGCATGCAAATTATTTAATGTGGCAGGTAATGTTGTTGTATTACTTCACAGCGGACACAATCATACATTATCAATATATGTCATATTTATCGTATAATATCTCTAGAAGTTGTTCATCTGGGATCATGTTAACTTCATAGAGAATCACTGAACCTAGTAGAATAAAGTATGGAAAGACAGAGTAATGTAAATAAGGAAATTAAAAATGTAGAGTGGAATTAAAAAATTATGTTGAAATATCAGTTTAACATTATTTTTGCTATAAATTAGTAATAAAAAATCAGAGTGCTCGAGCAAGTTAAACTTATTACAATTTTATTTCAGACATCAAACTTTAATTAATCAATACACATTTTTATCATAGTGCCCCATGCTACAATGAGGTGCTCAAATTGAATTCTAGTTTATTTTAAATATAAGATGCTAAAATCTACATTAATTTACATGTATTTGTTGATTGAAGGAATGGTTCAACGCTATTGGTTTGACAAAGAACGATATATGTGTTCAGCCCTACTGCGTAAGTTATCATATTCCGTTGCATAGGCATTTATCCGCTGGTATTATGCGCTGTATCGAATTACCAGTATTTATTTCCTGTTTGGATAACCTTGTTGACGATGAAGAGTTTCTTCGTAAAGCTCTGCTCCATCCATTGAGAATACAGGTTAGCCCTTTATGTTTCTTTTTGTTTCAATATATTTTTCGTAGCTGGGCTGTAAAGGTCTGGCTTTCAAGTCTGCAGAAATGGGAACACAAAAAGTTGAATTGCAAACTTGTTTAGTAATGAACGTCAGTTTAAACGGAAGATTTCGATTTCACATCGTTTTCCTTTTAATCTCGTAGGTATGTCGTGCAGAAACGTCAGCTGGTATGTGGGCAAGGAACGGTAATGCGATGCGAAATCAATCATTTTACTATGCACAAACGAATTATAACAGCGCCTTTATGGACTGCGATATAACATTGATCAGGTCAGCGTCTCGATGAAATGAAATAGAATTACTTCATTCTTTTTGGAGTAGTCATCTTGATATTATAAATTATATTTGGAAATACCGATGGTCTCTTTTGCTTTTTCTTACTTGTTATTTTTACTGCATTAGTCAAATTAATGATGAATTAATAACATTTGAAACTACTGGTATTAAGCAGTTTTTATGTTTTCTCAATATTCTCGTAGTGTTATGATACATGCAAGCATGTTCTTGTTTGTTAAATGAATTATAGATGTAAAATGATAAATAGATCGATAGAAAGAATAAATTAGCATTCGTTTTTTACAGTATATATTTCAGATTTGTAGCATGCTTTGCTGATACGGAATGGTTCATAAAAGTTGTTACTACGGCTTTTTATTTGGATGATTGCTTGTCGCTTTGTGGTTTCCTTTCAAACGATACTATTCTTCCGCAGAAAGGACGCGTTATCATACGAAGAGAATGGGTAGATTTTTTGGTTGATGGTATTTTGAGGTTAGTTTCTGCTATTTTTGGTTACTTTTTTGCATTTTTTCATTATTAGAACTTCAGTCTTTATTTGCTACTTATTTGAATGACTGATATCGTTTAATGTGCATTATTAAGTAATCCAAATATTTGGAAAAGCTGCAAACTCAATCGTTGATAGCCACTGTGCAAAGTGAAAGTGTTTCTCATAATAGTTTAACCTCAAAAAGAAAAAGTCAGATATTCTGGATGTCTTTTTTGCAAGATTATTCCTGGATGTTGCGGTTGTAAGATGGAATATGTACGGAAATGTTTCAAATAATCTAGAGAATGAAATTGTTGCCGCGCTTGCAATTAGCGATCTGACGCATTCGAAATTGAAAGCAGCTATTCCTGAAAGAGGAAGTCGACCATTTGTTGATGACAAAACATTTGATAGTATATTAGAAAAGGTTTGTACCGTGAGATTTAAAACGTTATGGATTATCAAATGCTTTGTTTTTTGACTGCAACAGAAATTTAGAGAAACTTTACAAAATCAGTAGATATATTTAGTTAAATTATGCTCGTCAAATATTTCTTTCCCATTTTCTACTTTCACATCCATAGTCTTTTCATTCATTAGGCTCTTTTTCTCGGTTGTTAACATTTTACTAAGAGCTTTTTATTCCTGGAGACATTGTAAATCATTAATTTTTTTTCCTCATTTCAGCTAGCAGTGTACTGCGAACCTGATCAAGGCAGTCATATTGAACAAGGAGTTTACATGTTGACGACAGAGTCTTGGCAAACCCTATTTGACCCCGTTTTCTGCAGAATGCGAACAACTACTCCACGCGAATACAATGACGCACTGATGCGCTCTGAAACTATGTAATAGTTATGAATTTGAGAAAAAAAATTAGTCGTCAGAAGTTATCGGAAATCCATTCGGTGGGTAGATTAAAAAAACAGTTCGAAGACAATTGTTGAGCTTCAGTTTTTTTTTCTGTGTGCAACATTTTGAGTTTTAGAATATGTGTATAATTTGACTAGAATTTTTCTGAATGTTGACCATCATGATCCTTGTCTTAGTAAAGCTGTGTACATATATTGAAAATTTATTCAGTGAACGCACTCTATTGAAAAATCCAACATTTATTCGTTCTGGTGATCACCTGTGGATCCCTTATCGTCTCTGTTCATTTGATAACATTTGGATGATGCGTAGTGCGAGATTTCTCATTACACCATCGTTTTTCGGTCTATTGCATAAGATTTTATATACTGTGAGTTAGTTTTTCAATTTTATTTGGGTAATTAATAATATTAGTTAGTATTTGAGAGCTCAAATTGCAAAAGATAAGAAAATATTGTAATAAATAAAATTTTAAGCTGTATGAATGTTTGGTTCTAACAAACGCAACTTCAAGAGATCAGAAAAAAGCTTTAATAGTGTATGTGTATTTTAGTATGTTGAGCATCAGCAACTAAATGAAGCAATTTTTCAAACGGCTATTTATTTTTTGACGTTAATGGTCAAGTTTGTTACGTCAGAACAGTTTCCATGTTTCACTAAAGAAAAGTCGAAATTACCATCGTTTGTACAAGAAATATTAAGCAGTCAGAGAAATCCTACTGCTATTCTGTCAGTGTTCACTGATTTTGTCGACATTGGAGGAAGGTAATTATTTTCGATTTATTGTAACAGAGCATTGAATGGATATTAATTGAATGTCTATTTGCGATGTATTTTTTCATTGTAACAAAATTCTTTCACTTAGTTTTCTTTTTCAAAGTCTGGAAATTTCGACATAAAAAGAACTTCCGTTCGGTAAATGCTGGCTTTATAAATACCTAAAAAATGTCGAATTTGGGAGATTTTCTATTTGTTGATATGTCTCCTACATTATTTTACAGGCAAATGCCATCAGTAATTACACTTCTTTTGAAATATTTACGCAGAATGAACGATGAAAATGCTATCAGTGCAGAACGTGATCATTTGCTGGCTGACCATATTTCCAGACAACTAAATCTGGATCCCTTGCTGCTGGATTTCATTTCGGGTTATGCTATCGATTACATCGGGCGTCTTTTCTGTTTGCTTCACCGCAGGTTTGTCCACTTTATTCTTCAGCGTTTTCCTTTTTCTCTCTTTGAAATTCAAACAGTTGATCTTGCTTTTCATGCTTGATAAATGCTGTACTTATAATTTACAGATGTTCTACCCTAGTTTGAGGCATTTCTGTACAAAAATCCAAAGCGACAAAATTGTTTTATTGTTGAACATGTATTCATTTAACAAAAATTTTAATCTTATCATTTTCACTTTCAAGATTTTACACATTTCATTCTTCATTAATTTTTTTAGTTGTGAAAAAATACGGGAAGTTTTGGATCAGTTCATTAGTGAACATCAGGTGGAGGTATTGAAATTAAATAAACCTCAGGAAAAGTATGATCTTGATTGTCCCGCAAAGTTGGCTCATCGATTAGCTGCAAAACGTCGTCAAGAGGTTTACTTCAAATCATTACTTCCGATTTACATTTAACAGATCTTGCACCGATTTTGATTCAACAGTTCAAAAATTGATAGAATTGAAAAGTTATTTTTATTCGCTGTGATGTTAACGCTGCATAACATTTTCGCTGCTAGGCCTTATTGGCGGCTCATCAGAAGAAAAGTGCTATACTAATGAAAAAGTTGATGGCGATGGAAGGATTAACGCAAACTCAAATGGATGCAATGGATACTACAGAAGTTATTGCTAATTTACTTTATTATGAATTTCCGAAGGATTAATTTGTGATTTTATTTATAATGATTTAATAATGAACTGAAAGCATTTGTTTGAAATGTCTCAGGTTCTTTTTTTCAGAATTCGCCAGTGCGACATTACAGATGCCCGATTTGCAATGATACAACAGCAAGTACTTTGGCTCATCCGGTTGGACTAATGTCTCGCATAATTGTTAATTACGGCCAGTTTTCCTTTACTTGCACAGGAACTTTTTCTTTTAAAGTCGATTTGTTATCAGACGTTTCTAACTTTACAATAAAAAATACAGTAAGCACTATTTCAGCATTAGAGTTCCTAGTCGACTGTGTTGTTCTGCTAATCTTGAAGTTCTTTTCCTAAAATTTCTGATAGTATTCTGAGTTTTAATTCTTATCATGTATAATTTCAATATCATGTCTTTCCACTGCTACGTAATCTTATTCCTCATTATTGTACTACAGGGAAAGGCAGATCTTAAACCTCTTAACACCTTAAACATGTAAGTAATTTAAAAACATGTTTAGCTGTTGAGCATTCTTTACCTGAAGATTGTCCATCATTATCACTGATGGAAATGGGAGAAAAAGGCATTCATACGAATTGCATGATGCTGAAAATTTTCAGCGCTTCACGTCAATCTCTTCTTCAAACTGTAAGTTCTATTAAAATTTTGTTTTTTAACGGTAATATGCAGTTTAATTTTGTTCAATCAATTAGTTCTATCAAAATACATAAATTTGAAAGAGATTTGTTATGTGATTTCGGACTTCCATATTTTTCTATATATTTCAGCGCTTCCCAAAATATGCAGATCTTATCCAAGCTCCAACTGGTATTGAAGTCCGTACGTGTGGTCATTATGCACACGTCGAGTGCTACAAGGCTTATGTTAAAACATTGCTGGTTTGTTTTAACTTCATTCAGATTCTTAAATATACTTTGTTTATTTTTTGTCTGTAATTCGGCAATAACTCTAAAAATTGAATAAAATTTCACTTTAGGAAAGTCCACCACCGTCGCTTGATCCGTTGGAAGCGCGAATCGAAATTTCATGTCCTGTATGCCGTGCACCAGTTCACACTCTACTTCCCCTCGCTCCAGATACCGGTGTTGCAAGGATACGGTCTGTTTGAATGTTCGAACTGTTTTTATGTTTACTGTTTTTCAATCTTTTTCCAAAGTTTATTTTTTGCTAGTTAATTTTTCTTAACGTCGTTGCAGACCCGGTGTTTCCTATCAAAAAAACAATTATGCACAACTGGTGAAAGAAGTGGAAAGGCTTATAGACAGTGATACTTCCCATATACAGGTGAGTTGGAATATATGATACGATTTCACCTCTTATTCTGGTTAAAACTAATAACTAACAACAGGTTAAGGCATTATTGCTTTGAGCTAGTTAGTCTTTATAGGGCAACATTCGAAGCTTAAATTAGTTCAGTCTTTTGAGATTTTTATGCCATTTTTTTATTTCTTTTTCCCTGTATGATAGGTTCCTCAATCGGTGTATTTTTAATGTCATTAAAAATAATTTGAGCTTTTCTGTGAGTCTCAAGAATTAATCATTGAACTGTGTTCATTTTTTACCATTTCATAATCGGTTTAACAATTAAATAGTTTTTTGCAGCTTTCAAACCTTAAATGTTTACATTTTACAGGGCAATGAAGAAACGAAATTTGTGGCATATCAGCAATTATTTTTAAATTTCACCTCATTATGTCATAAATGGACAGTATACCGTGGCAATTTTAGCGAAAGTACACCAAGAAAAGGGCAAATTTTCGCTTTCGGACTTGCAAAGTAACATCTCGATTAGTTTTTTCTTCCAATTAATTTGTCAATACTTATGTTAACTTCATCGGACTCTTTTTAGTGAAACTGTTCAATTTTTTATCCGTTCCAGAGGTAATTTTGAACGAAATCTTTTATTGGCCGAATCGAATTTTTCCGACAACTGTTATCGTGAATTACCGGCAGGTATATCAACTTTATGTTTTTATATAAAGGGCATTTTCATTGAATTTGATCTTCATTCTTATGGTTCTTATGATGGTTGGTACCTTGCTATTAGTGTTAAAATTTGATAGAACAAGTTGGAAGTTTCAAACAGACTTAAGAATACTTGATAGATTGATGAATAGAAATTTTAGAAATGGCTTAATAAAATGATAAAGTAGCATCTCTTCAAAAGATATGAACTATTAAACATGGCGTGAAATGTGACTGTACTGCTGTTGATTGACACATATTGATTTAAAAATACGTTTAAAAAACTAAAAATGTTTGGATTGATGAAGATCTGCAGCTCCACCATCTCGTAATGGAATAAATTGTGTGTTTCTTATAGAACATATAATATATGGAGCACGTCATCAAGGTACGAAACGTGATATAAATTTCATGATATATCAGTGGAGACATTTAGTGTTCGGGTTCGACCAAAAGCGATCACCAGTAAAAGATACTTTAGAGGATAACTGCGCTCAACATTTTGCACCAAATGACTCGGATATTCTAGCGTCGGTATGGATTTTTTTCATTAGCCTAGGAGATTAAAGCGGTTTAATTTTAATTACTTTAATAGTTATTGTCTGGTAACCACACTATCTGTACGATTTCGCTTTTTCTTCATATCTTAATTTAAGCTGATTTCAGTCAACAGTTGAAGCGAAAGTGGCAAAGATGCATATGAATCAAGATATTGAACTAGAGACAGGCACTCCAATGGTGGTGTTTGATTTGAAAACAACGCTGGTTCGCATCAGTAGTTACATTATCACCAGTGATTCCTTAACTAACGATGATAAGAAAAGTTTGTTATTTTGTTACTGCAAAAAAATTGTTTTAAATTACCTAAATAAACTAACGTCGGTTATTTAGTATTTATTTCCCTCTATGTAGTAATGCTCCATGTTGGTCTGCTCGAAATTGAAGTGCAAAAAGTACTAAACTTTTGTATTACATCTATCCGAAATTAGACTGTCGATAATTTTCGTCTGTTTTCAATTTATTTGAAACTCCCGCAATCGCATACTTTATCTTAAGTTAACATTTTAAATGTTTTTACTTTTAATTCTTGATTAGATTCTCAGGTTGACTTTTCTGGAGCTTGATTTCTTGTAAAAAAAAATTTAATTTCATAGCATTTTTCTTCAGTTTTGCCCCAGATTTTATTTGTTTCCTCCTTTCAGGTTTATTATCATTTGTTTACCAGGTAGTTTTGTATGCAGGGATTGTTCGCACAGCGATTGTGGCAGCTTTGCATATGCCATTATCACAGCTGGAGCAAACAAAAAGCCTAAAATTAAGTAATGAGGTATTGTTAAATTGCAAAAATCCTCGCAATATTTTGTTTTATATTGATTACATTGATGTATCTTTATATACATAACTACCAGTTTATTTCACTTTTATTCTTTGTAATGGTAGGATGGAAAAGAAAGTTGGAAAAATCAATTCGTGAATTTTTCTTATAAGAACTTGAAGTGTTTAATTTTTGAAACAGTTTTTCAGGTATTTACATTCGCTGTGAAAGGTGTCATAAATAGACTTTTTTCACGCCCTCATCTGAAAGCAGAAAATATTTTGTTGAAAGATGGGGTGAGTTCAGTAACAAGTTTAGCCGAATATTTGTTTGCAGCTGACCAGTTCAAAACTTCTAATATTTTCGGAATGGATAACTTCTAAATAGCAAATTATTTTTTTAAATCAACTTTCCAAATCAAAAAATTTAAGGATGAAGTGGATTTCGAAAAAGCTTTTCATTATGCTTGTACAGACTTATCTCGTTTCACTGCACAATTGTGGCACGAATGTGGTATACATAAATATGATCAGGAACACGGCGTTAGTCGTGCCACGTTTATGGAAATTTACAGGTTGCTGACAAGTATGTAATTATCTTCAAATCTGATATTTTTTAGATGGAATTGATTAGCATCTTATTAGTAAGTATCCGCATTTCTTCCATATTACTGCAGCAATCATTCAGCTAGTCTTTATTGTGTTCACATGCGTTCTCAAATGTGAAAGCGGGAAATGGAAAACCGACAATCCGAGAAAAATCGCTCTAATATAGCACTGCTTATTAAGTGTATTAAAAGCAATATATTAGTGATTGAGCAATACTGATGATAAAGTTGTATAACCGAACTTAAAATATTCTCAGATATTTTCACTAGTCATGAATTAAAAATTTTCGTTTATTATTCACTGTTTTCATGGTTGCTTTTTTATGTAATCACCTCCAGATAGTGGCGAACTTTCCGTGAAATTCTTACCTCATGTTCATATCGAAAAATGGGTTGATGCAGTGCTTCGATGGATTAGCTGCAAAAATTTCGTAGAGGTATGAGTTGTTGTATAGGTCTTTGATCACTGGATAGTGAACATTGTAGATTTTTCGATTATCCACTAGTAGTAATGTAGCAGAGAGTTGAATTGTAACAAGCCAAACATATTTGACTTGTTACAATTTACCGTTATGACGAAATATAAAATCACTTTGTTTGAAGATTTTAGAAGAGGGTTTGCATTCGAAGCCCTGTAATTGTTTCTTACCTGTTCATTTATCATAGTACCCTTGAAATTTCCTTCCTTACATTTCATACATTGTGTCATAGGACTTACATAAAGAACCATTATCGTGGCGCAGATTCATGCTTCTTACACTGCCGAAAAGTTACGATGACTTATTTGCTCGATTTTTCGGCCTCCCTTGCGTAGCATGTGGATTGGTTCCTCGAATGCCATTTATCTGCCTTCTTTGTGGACAACTCTCGTGCTTGGATGGTTGCTGTACCTCACCAGCCACCGAAACTCTCTCCGCAAATGAAGTGGAGCGTGTAGGTATTTCATGTTTTTTGGGGATATTTTTCAAATTAAAAATAACTTTTGATTATAAAGTGATTATAAAAAGTGAGAGTTTGATTATAAAGCGGATTATTTCCCATAGTTATTGCTTCGTTTTAGTGTTCATCTTCTTGTCTACAAGCAGCGCTCTATTCATTAAATATGGATAGGATTTTGTTCTAAATTTTTAAAATACCGAAAACTTGTAGAGGAAAATAAATTTTAGATTAGAATAACTATTTCTGGCAAATTTATTAGCTATCATTCATCCGCTTTCAGCACGCACTGACTTGTAGCAGTGGTGTGGGATGTTTTCTGTCAGTGAATACCTCATTGATTGTGATAGTTTGTAATCGAAGGGCAGCACTTTGGGGTTCAGTCTACTTGGACGTCCATGGAGAGGAAGATCGTAATTTAAGGTTATTTTGTTTATTACGCTCATGATACTTTTTTTTGCTTTTAAAGTATAGAAACTACAATTTTACTTATTTTTAGACGAGGTAAACCGCTATTCTTATCGGAACGTCGCATCGAAAGATTGACTGCGGACTGGACAATGCAATCATTTGAACATTTGGTTGTAAATTTCTTCAATTTTGATGATTTGATGTCTTATCTTCGTGACGCTCATTATGTGCTTCAGTAGGGAGTTGTGTTGTGCACACTGCATTATATATGCTTCACAAATGATCGCTCACCGTGACAATTTCGGGTAACCTTTGAGCTAGCTCCTGAAGTTCCATACTAATGTTTCAGAACGATTGTTTATTCTTTTTTAATTATTTTCTGCTTGTGGTCTTTTAACTTATAGGCAAAAAATTTTTAATCTTTTCCTAGAAACTTTTGACTTCCGAATTGTTGAAAAAGGCTGGAGTATTAAAAAGGAGGAATAGTTAGAAGATTTGGGACTGTGAATCTCTTTATCTCATTTCAGTTTGCGAACTGAATGTGTTAAAAGAAACCTGAAGGAAATCATGAAAACAAAACATTGAACTGAAACGTATTAAATAAAATAATATTTGTTTCGAAATGTAGCCTCAATGCTTTGATTTCGAGAATAAAGGGTTTTGCCCTTCTTCACACAAAAAGTATCTAATCAATTTCAATTTATTGTGTGCAATTATGGTTTCATTTAATTACTAGAGCTGAAGTGAATGAACAAAAGTCATGGCGAATTGAGCATCGAATCGTAGCTAGCTGATTTTCTTTTTCCGCTTAATATCTAAATTTTGTTTGAGTCCTATTGAATACTCTGTTACCATCGTACAGAGTTTGTATGTAAGAAAGGGAAATGTTTTAATGTTCTAGTATGTCATAATGTTTTAAAGAAAAGATAGACAAATTTGCTAAATGTTTTAAAATTTTTGCTTAACTGGTGCTTGATCAAGTACATATCATAAACTTATACATTAAAAAATCTCAAGCAAAAACAATAATATCATTGCTAAACTGCAATTGTACAAGAAATAGTCAATAATATTCCACAATTTGCTTCATTAATTATATCCTACAAAACTTCCTCATAAAGCTGCAGTTACAAAGTGTGCAACTGTAACAAGTCACGACATTAAAAAGTGATACGAATTAGAAATAGCAAGTGAAGGATGATCTAACGCTAACATTCTACGGAAATTAACTATTAAATAATCCAATACTACAGCTAGCGGGAAACGAATTGGCATCGAGTGACATGCAACTGTATAGTTATATATAGAATAGTATTGGGGCAAAAAATTGTTGGATGAAGGCTCTTCCAATATACAAAATCATTTCGTAATGCATGATCCTAATTGGTTCTCATAAGAGCTTTGGAACATTAGTATGGGTCGATCCATCTTTCAAATGTTCTGTTTTAATGTGCTTGTTGTATAGAACGAATCCCTTTCGCTATTTTAATTGCAATTTTAGTAATTTCAACTGAAGGATGAATTATTTTTCCAAGAATGCAAATTTTCGGAAATTTATAAAAAAAATTCATAAATTTTTAAAAATTTCATAAACTTGGAAATACCGTTTGAAATTCATAACATTAATTTAAAGAAGAAGCAACGAAGAGGAAGAAATAAGCATGTCAATCAGCCTGTTGAGGTGACAGATCCTTTATAACTTGATTTTGTCACATCAGCTCAACATTTTAATTTCAATTCAAAATTTGAAATATTTTGGTAGATTTCGAGGTTATTTAATCGAAGGTCTTAATACAAAGTCGTCCTGAAATGATATGTGATAATGAGCCGATAAGTAATATTGATAAGGTTGGAGAAACGAAGTAACAACGCGGCAATATTCAATTAATCTCAAAATTTGTGTAATTTCCGCGATGTCGAGATTAGAACAGATTATCTCAGTGTTGGCTTCTCAGGCTAAAGTAAGTAAGTTTGGAGTAGCAATATGTATTTCTTATTTTAAAGTTCCTGATCATAGCACTAAGCTTAATTGCAAACATTTCTTTAACGACAGGAATGAACAAGAAAGCGATAGGTTTGCTTGTGTATATGCAAATTTGCGCACACATCTGACCTTTTAATTTTCTTGGATAATTTTTAAATTAGTTGACTACATTTTCATTTTAGAAATTTTTAAATAAAATTTCAATAGTAAAATACTTAAAATGATTTTTTTCAAAAATTTAAAAGTAAAATCTCAATAATAGCAACGTACCATCTGAACTGAGACGAGATGATCTGTTTGTATGAAATGGCAATAAATGACATTATAATTTGCAAATTATTCGCTTACGTGTTAGCAGTTTAATGAAAGAGTGTAAAGTTCACTCAGAAAGAAACCTCTATAAAAAGCAACTTTGTCGAATAACGTCTTGAAAAAATTTTTGATGTCAGTATCTTGCAGTGACCTTTATTCCCTCTAATTCTATTCATTTCATTCCGGTCCTTCATTTCCACCACTTGCAATCTGTTCGTGAAGGCCTTGGCATGTGATAACCTGTTTTCGTTGAGCAGCATTTCTTCGTTGTTTCATCATCCAATGGAGCAATGCTCGAGCTCGTTGAAATGAATGAAATCTGCGATCCTATTTCGAATCCTTTCGATTTATTTCTTCACACACAAGTTACGTTCCGGTCTTCTTCGGTAAATCACTGTACTATTTTCCGGTTTCACGTTCTTGTATAGCCAACACATGACGATGAGTAGTTATTGGCCCTTTATAATGGAAACATAGTTTTTGACAGTTTCTTTGGACACCTTCAAACGTCCGTCCATTGCTTCGTGGAGGAGACTCGATGGTCATCGTTGCGAAACGAACGGGATCTTCTTTGGGCACAGTTTTGGTTTGCACTTCTTTTCTCGATTTCTAACACTCATATGGCTCGATTTCTTCCTACATCTGCTCAAAGCTATTCATCCTCTTCCGTTTCTTGTCTTTTAAGTCAAATCCCCTGCAAACATGAATGTCGTTGATATGCACGACCCTCCTCCAATATCTTATCTTTCCTCATCATCCTTTCATGTTCCTCGATTCCTCTCCAGTCCATTTCTTCTACTTCATTGAGGAGCTTTAGAATCTTCCCCTTCGTCGGAACAGCGCTTCCATATAATATCTTGGACGACATCCCATCCCTGCTTTGGCACCACATTTTGTTCGCGTTTCACAAACAGAAATTATCAGAATTAGCGGTAGCACAGTATGAGAATATGGTGATAAAGATTTCTTGATTACTGAGATTTCTAAGTTGGATCAGAATTGAAAGGAATTGATTGGGTCGCAGCTCCGATCAGTAAGTAATCGCGTATTACATTCGACTACTGAAATACTGGAATACTTGATTCAACTCATCTATTTTGAATCTATTTAGTATGGTCTCCCGAATCTCAATTTGAGCTTCTTATGTTAAGTTGTTTCGTGAAAATTACATATACTTTCATAATTACGGATCACGTTTCATTTGCACCATCTGATTAGCTTTTTACACTTTGCATGCCGTATTTTTTGGAAATGAGAAAGAAAAAAGTTATTGCTGATCCTATACACGTGAACTTGTAGTTCTGTCTGTTGTTCACTCTTGTGCACGTGTACCCGTACTTCCGTGTGTTGTTCACAACTAATAGTGACTACTTCATTGCCTTACTTCATGCAGTCATGTCATCAATTGTTGTTTGCTATTTACATAGGTAAATAATAGTGTAATCCCCCACTGTTCTCTTCCACCTTCACGTGATCGTTCGTAATGAAGCAAATGCGTGAACCTTACGTCCTATGCTTAGCAGCTTGATTTTATCGCTTCGTTGAAATATTTCTGAAGTTCGCAGGTACTGAAATCATTTCAACTGGTGAAAACAAAGGAAACGTCGGGACAAGGAAAATTTGAAAAGTTTGATTCTTGGCTTAATAAGTAATCGTTCTGGTCTATCAATACTACATAAGAATTACGTCAGGTTGCTTTTCTCGACACACTATAACTTCATGCATTGAACTGCTTGCATTAAAACATTTCAATTTTCTTCACTCCGATTTATGCTCGATAATGTAATGTAACGGTTATCAAAATAAATGAATATTATTGTACGCTTCAAACTGAATCGAAGGCTTCAATGACCGTGCTTTCTCTCATTGCTATCCACACCACCGGGCAGAATTATAGGTACGTTTTGAACACTTTCTCCCTTCATCGGATGCTACAAAATGAAAAATCTGTACTACTCAGAAGCTTCTATCGTACAATGAATTTACTGTCTTTTTCCCGTACATTTACTTCTTTGCTTATGGCCACAAAAAACAGTGGCAATGTCATCTAACTGACCGTTTTAACATACAAATAGGCAATAATAGCCAGGAAGAAGAGATAAGCAATAGCAAGAAGCATCCACCGCCGCTTCCGTTCAGACGCACATGAAATGGGTTTGTTGAAACTTGGCACATTTATAAATTCTCCGCACAATACGTGCGTGCATGTATGTGCTTTCACATTGTATTGCTTATTTGCGTGTGTTTATGTGTTTATGCGTTTGTTTATACACATAAACGTGTATGTATGTTTGTGCGTGTTCTTGGAGAATAAATTCGAAAATTTTTCGGCCTATGGTAGCATAAATTTATTACTGCAGAGCATTGCTTTGCAACCATCCTGATAAAGCATAGGAACTGATAAAGATAAAGGTGAGGTAAATAAGAAGTATGTCTAACATTTATTTCATTATCGTCAGTAAGTTGGCCGTTTAGTGCAGGAAAGTAAGTCAGTGTCTCCTTTGTGTGATTTGCCATGACCTGTACCAAATATAATTCCTTTATTCTTTTAGAAGGTTGTGGTTGTGGATCGGCGAATTGTGTGGGCAACATTCTTCTGCTGAGACCTGCGGCTGTTGCTGAGGAAGAGGAAGGGCTAGTTGCTTTGATCTTGACCTCAATACACTTGAGAAGGTACTTAATGAGGTGAGGTGGTTGTTGGTGCTACTCACCCTTTTAAAGTCTCGATGGATATCGAGGCTACAATTCAGAAATGATATTCATATCAAATTTCCTTCCTCCAACATGAATAGGGAGTTCGTTTCACATGCCTTTGTCACGGAGTTATTCGTATTTCCAGGAAGAAAGCAGCTATCAGAGGCGGGCTTTTTCGTAATCTTTGTTTGCTTCATTTAGGTTGTAAGATTCACTGAGAAGGAACGAGCCCTGTTGGCAATCCCTAATCTATCACATAATTACCAAGGACATTGTTAATGAAGAAGAAAAGGTGACTCACTTTTAGCTCAGGACCGAACTCTATGATTTATAAGAAAAGTGACGTATTTTATTTTCTGTATTTCCATGCAATGCTCTCTGCCGAGAGCAATTCTCGGGATAGCATTTTATACTTTGAAAACTAAGGAAAGACAATGAAACGATTTCTTTTATATGTATATGTTATGGTATATAAATCAGTGCTCGATTTTTTTTTCTTCAATCATCGGTTCAGACATTGGATTTCAGCGGGATTCCACGTTATGTTTGAGTATCGTCCACAACAGTTCAACAGAACTGTACTGTTGTTTGGATGGTCTGCTGACTGCAGGAAAGGTTGTATAAAGCAGGGTGGAACGAATCGAATGGTTGCGATCGCTTTGATTGATAACAGCGCACTTGTCGCCGATGCAATTATCGTTACCACTGCAATGTAAAAATAAGCAAAGTATTGTTAAAATCACCTTTATTGGTTTTAAAATGACTTATTTGGCAGCAAGTTATTTAAATTACTGTTCGGGGAGTTGCTCAGTTTGGCACAGTTAATTGATGTTGTTGATTTACGTGCAAAATTAAGTAATCTGCAAGCGAAGTTTTGATTTTTCATTGCATTAATAACGTGACTCACCGTTCAAAAGCACGTACCAATACAATACGTAACGTGGTGTCCTCTCATAAATTCTGAAAATAAATAGCTTCAATAAATCCTCGCATCCTTACATATTATCCTAATTTGCTATGCAATTACACTTCATATCTCAAGTTCTTCCCGCTCAATAAAACATTTCTTGATGTCAGAGGTAGTCTGCATGGAAAGTGACATATGGGCTCAAGCAGATACGTCTCGTTTTGTTAACATAAAAAGAATTAACGCTTAAAGTATTCTTCATCGATGATAACGGTTTTTCTAAATCGATATGATATGACGTAGTAGCGTGGGAGTGAATTATTTAATTGGAGGTGATCATTCGGCACAACTAACTCTTTCAGTGTGGGTATTTTCCATTTCTTCGTTTTCTCATTGTACCTCTGGGATTTGAGAGAAAGACCGAACAAAGTTGGCAATATAACACAGGTAAATGGAATAGCTGTACTCCCGATGAAATCCATAATTGAGCCGAAGTTCGGAATTGACAAGGCGACGAATAATATGGACGCCAAAAGCCCGGTACGAACGACGACACGTTGCCAACACATCTCTATGAAGCGATTTTCAAAAAAGTTCAGATGCAAAGTAACTTATCCATGGAAACTAAGGAGAACTTTAAGCTTTCAACTAGATCTCTCAGGTTTTTTTTAATCAAGTTAAACTTCCCGATCTCTTCAGAGAAGAAACGAACTGTGTGGAACATGGAAAACATCTTCAAACTGCTGGTTTATCGGATTGATGGTGAGTATAATTGTAAGGAGACAGTGGAATGCAACTGCCAGGTCAGCCGTATGTCGAATCCATGTTGTTTGCAGCGAATCAATCACTGATTCGTGCATGCTCTGACCGTAGACGGCGTAGGAGTACACGGAGAGCGGGACGTACAGACAGCCGGTCCCTGAAAATAACACCTTACTCGGCTTTTTCTTCCTTCCTATTATGCGAGCTCAATGGAAGGATCAAAGGGCTTTCGCTGCACTCCATTTCGCAGCTGTCACCCGAGTTGAAGCGAAGGAGAATTGCTGTCACATCTCAGACCTTCTAGACATTCAAACAAACTTCACAACTAACAAATAAATCCAAACAAGATAGATTTCGAGAATTCTTTTGGTTCACGCATATCATGCTGAATCGTTGGAAATACGTGATGACCGCTGTAGGCAAATACAAATGTTCCGAGGCTGTAGAAGGAATGAAAGCTTGCTGACTTATAGACAGCTGATGATTTGCATGAACTGTAATCAAGAGTGACACCAATCAAAATTAGCACAACTGCAGCTATAGTACAGAACAGCGACACAGCCACAACAAGCCTGAAATGAAATTGCTAACTTATTGTTTGTGGGAAACGAACTGATCGATTCCGGACAAAATTTGGCAGCTCAATGATTAAGGATGCATTTCCCCTGTTCACTTCTCAGTTCAATCATTCATATTTAAAGGAAGAACGAAACAATCTGGAATTTTGACAGATTAGAAGGAAGAAAACGAGACTTAAAAATGAAGCCTTGGCTACAGATGGACCCTCTATCTTTTCAGGAAAACTCAGTATCTTTATTTTTCCTAAGAGATTCCATTGAAAAGTCACTTCAATATGCGATCAGTCCCGGAGCTACCACTCCATGGAACATGTCGGGAGAGCAATGATCATCAGAATTCCTATCCGCTTTATATTCAATCAAAACGACGGACAACATTGTGGGTTGCTGAGAAGCAAAAATATATCTTGTCAATTGCATTCTTCATCTCTTTCTATTGGTGACAATCTGCACTTTCAATCATTTTATGAAATTCCAATGAAATGATTTCTTGAACAAACCAAAAATCAGCTGGCGATCGAAGAAAAGTAATCGGCAAGATCAGTATGACAATGATTATCAGCAAGAGGCAGAAATGTATTTTAATACCGAAATAGTTCAGAACTTTGTGGAATATGCTTGATGACAGAATAACATATACCGTAGTAATACCGAACAATGTAACGTTAACACAGAGAGAGGTGAAAGTTCTGAAATTTGAATTTTGGAATATACAAGTAGGAGGCATCTCATATATTGTAGACTTAAAATTTCTATTGTGTAATGCTTCAAATTTACTCTTGCTTCTTGATTTGCAGGCGGAGAGATGACAAGGTCAAAATTAATACACAATTCACATAACTACAGCTTATCCCAATACTTTACGAATCCAAATTATTGAGCGTGATTTGAAAAACGGTAAAGTGCAGCTTACCTCATTTTAGGTCCGAAACTACGCATGCCAATTTCCGGATACGGTTGACGACAATGTGTCTTGTATACAACCCATCGATCTCTCATGATACTCCACGTCTCGGATAAGAGATAAGCACTGTTGGTGAAGAATATGGCGATCATAGCCATGAACAGACAACCAAGAAGCGTACCTTAAAGCGAGAGTTGTTTAATAAAATTCAGATCTCTATCAGTAGTAAGTTGATCAAATTCAAGAAAAGCAGAAAAAGTAGCAGTGATTGATTTTTGAAGCTTAAAAAACAAAAGTATGTATTCTATTGTTTGGTTTTCGTTACTCAATTCACACCTATAACTTAAAGGCTCATTAAGAAACCTGTTTCATGGAATGCAGCCGGCATGGCCACTACACCTCCGCCAACCATATCCGCAACAACCATGACGGATGCTACAAACCAGCTGTAACCTCGTTCCGGAACTGTCAATGTAGATGTGGCACTAATATCCTTCGCCTTCTCCGTTTGCTGATTATTTTGCAATTCAATGTCGGAAGTGAATGTTTTGGCAGCTTTTTGTAATGATTCACTGCTTACAGCAGTTTTGGTATTTGCTTGTGTTCGTGACACATTGCTAGAATCACCCACCGATCTGCTCATTTTCCACAATTTTATCTGAATATTAAAGTTACGGAAATTTTAGTTCTATTCAGTTGAGAATTTTTATTTCAAAAATTTCCAGTTTAAAGAAGAATCCTAGATTATTAGCTTTTCATTTTTTCACTACTCAATCACCTTTAATAACTCACCCAATGAACCACATGATAAATACTTGCGTAATCACTAAAACCTTTCTAAACAATTCTCGAGAGAATATATCAACATCATCTTCCCCAAATCCAGAATTCAGTTAACTATAAATTTAGTTTGTCACGGATTAAATGCAGCAGCTCCCTTTATTTGAATGGTTAGCTTAACCAATACGTTCATTAAAACGTATGAAATTGGAAACGCGCTACGTCACCATAGGTATTGCAAACTATTATTTTTTGCATATTACAACTGCCCGCAGACGAAGTGCACGCACTACATGGACGATCTTTGCAGGGACAACAGGACCGAATGATATATGAACACCGAAGACCGACCAGTTTTAAAAAGAACAGGTCACATGATGACTGGAAGGACAGAATCGAAGTTCATTTGCTCGCTTTTAGAAAAAAGAAAAAAACAATTTCAAAATGCAAGAAATTTGAAAGGATCTTTCAACAAAAGAAAACATGGAATGAATAGAGGTTCAAATGAGTAACTTAAGTAACTTGCAGTTCATTTGGAACGTGATGATGCAATTCTGCGCAAACATCACGTAACGAAATAAAAAGTTGACTCGGTGAAGATATCTTAGCAAGAAAATATGGGATGGAATCTAACTTTTGATGAAATTGTTGTTGAAGATTTGCCAGCTACTGAGAAAGAAGAGTAGAAGAGTTAGTTGCTTTGACCTTGACCTTAATACTTGACCTTAACTGAAAGAAAGGACGAGTTGTTGATGTTACTACTTCATCTTAGCCTTCCTAATTTTCCGATGGATATCAAAGCTACAATTCAGAAGTGAAAAGCTTCCTGCGCTTCCTTCCAGTTGATAACAGAAGCAGGGAGTCGGTTACTTTCACACCAAACGTCACAGATCAAATTACTTACACTTTTAGAAAATTTTCTCAAACATTTGGCAGCATTCCTTCACTCTTCTCCGCCTCCTCACCTTTCTTTATTAATTAAATTAGTGAAGCACATCCTTGCAAGCAACCTTAGAATTTGGCGGTATCTCTCTCTCTCTCTCTCTCTCTCTCTCTCTCTCTCTCTCTCTCTCTCTCTCTCTCTCTCTCTGACCTTCGTTCCATGACATGAATTTCTTCTCTAAAGGTGAACCTGAATAGCGGATCGATAATGATATGATAGGGAAGATTTCCACTTGCACGTTGAAATACTATTCGCTGAGTGAAGTTAATGAGTGGGAGGTTGTTGCTTCGTTAGTGATTGGAAATGAATTGAATTCGGAGTTTTTCGGAATAACAGAATCATTTATTCCGTCATTCCACAAACAAACACCCCTTAATGATCTATAAAAGTACCAGCAAACATTGAACTGATCGTGTTCGTTCGTTGGCAATATTCCTGAAAATGTCGCTTGACGAGTAAATCGATGGATCAGTGAGTGAGTTAGAAGTGATAAAAGCTAATCAGATGGCCTTCTACTCGAGATCATTTAGGTGCTTAAACATAACCTTAATGCAATTCACTCCAAGCGATGATAAAGCGATGATTCCTGCATCTTTGACATTTTACATCACTTTTTAACAATTTTTCAAACTGTTTTTGAATCATTTCTGTTCGACGAAAGATGAAAACACACTTTCCTTCAAATGGACCTTTCAAAATTCAATGAAATTGCTAAATTTCAATTTAACGTTCAGCAAATGTCTTAGGCATTCTGTTAAAAGATTAAAATTTTCCGTCAATGTAAGTGAAGAGGTATTTAAGAGAAGAAAAAAAAACACATTTTTTATCAATGAAAATGGACAGATCTCAAAAAAATTGGTTTCTATTCACTTCATTTATTCCAATAACACTTTCTCTCGCTATTCCCTACAAATTTTCAGCTCTCTGGAAGGGCCCACCGAACATTTCATAAAGGAGAACTTAGCTAATTGGTACTCCTTTCTGCCATATTTCAATCTTTTGAAACTTGAACATATAATTACAAGCATTGTAATACACACCTCTCTCAATTATCGATCACCAATATACTCAATCACAAAGGTCGCGTAAGACGGACGTGACGTGTGCTTGAATTACGTATGAGTGATTGAGTTATGCGTTCTTTTAAATCACAGCTCATGCTATCGATGATATCCTTTTTTTGCAACATTGTTTTTTAAAGTATTCATTTACAGCAGAAAAAAGGAGGAGAGAAAAATACTTTGGGAGGTATAATTAATTGGGAAGTTCAAAAGCCAATGGAAATAAGAAATCAAGAAACAGAAATGTGAAAATGGAAGTTGGAAAAAAAACAAATTAATGAAAAAAGAATATTATGATGACATATAAGGTAAGGTAGTAGCGGTGGTAGATGAAAATAGACATTATTCATAGTTTATAGTTTAGTAGCAGCATTCACCGAAGATGCTTAGTACATGGGGATCAGTCTCTCGATAGTAAAGCTGAATCGTAAGCAGCAGTTTTGGAGACAGATATGGCGAGTACAGAATAATTAGTCATGCTAATTAGTGAACAAAGAACAATGGAAGAAGTATTGTGTGAACAGCTTGTCCGTTCCATTCTTATACCGACGTTTCTTCCTTCGATCTGTCACAGCACACCTTTACTTTGCATCAAACTTCACACATACTTTTCCTTCGAAAACAAATCAGTGAAAGAAAGTCGTCAGTTCTTTTCTTCGTATCATTACCCAAAAAAGGGAATTTCCAATTAATCTCAGCATTTTCATGCACTTTTTGACTTTCTCTCTCTCTCTCTCTCTCTCTGGGACCGATGAATTTTTACACCTCGAATTCTGTTCACTGACGAAATTGCACAAATGAGCGGATATACCGGATCATTCATTCAGGGTACAGTTGAAGAAAACGTGTGCATATTTGTCACTTTGTTTATCCATAGTGGAACTTAACTATGTGGCAGATCGCTGAGTGGATGATGAGCACGACTCGACGCAGAAAAGTTGAATTTTGAAGGAATGATGGAACAATCTTGGTGACAGTGAACGACGGGTATTAGTGTAGAAGCGACAAAATTCTAAAACAAGTCATATCAGGAATGACTTTCATTATTTCTTTCAAAAAATTTTGGTTTACATTAAAATTTTAAATTCAATCTCAATGTGTTATTGCTAAAGCGTGTCACGTGCTCTGAAAAACAGTGCAGTAAGCAGGTCGTTGCATACAAGCTCACTAACATTCTCGCACACGGCGGTCGTGATCATTTTCTACTCTGTCGCAATCTGTCCAGTTCGTAATGAAGTGATCATCCGCAAATGATGTGATATTTTTAAGGTTTGCAACTCTGTCTGTTCTCTCCTGCAGATGACGTGAACACAATTTATATTGTTCTTGTCATGCAAAATGTCAATGCTGGCCAGATGCATCCAAACGTATTTCTTATCAGAGATACCAAAATCACTCAGTAACTATGGAGGATAACGCATAAGATAAGGCAGGGCACGGATTATAAATTTCAAACTATTTTTATTTCGCATCTGATACTCTTTTCATTGTTGGATCACGGAAGAAACAACTTTTTTCGACAAATGTCAAGGGAGCCAAGCGCAACCACGCTTACTGTGCTTCAAAAAGCTCCTTTCCTGCTATTCATAGATCTTTTGAATTACCGAATACTTCTGATAAATCATTCAATTCATTTCATGTACATGTATTCGGTAAATCATCTCAGAAATTATCATCACAATTCTGCAGTATATCGAGAGTGATGAATTTATTCAATCTAAGCAACAGAAGTTTCAAAAAATTTACCTGTTTTAGAAACATTGAGCTGTTTCGTCTAATCACAGATTCTTTCTCTCTCTCGTGAACACAATCTCATGAAGCGTTAATTGCTCACGTTCGTTCATAAATATAGAAATAAACTTATAAGACAGAATATAGTGAAGAATTAAAGGAGCTCCGAAAATATTCTTTAAAGTTGCTGGGAAAGTTTATAACTTATAAATCGCAATTAGAAAGAAAATGTTGAGAAACAGATAAGCAGGAGAAAAATGGATGGGCAGGGAAGTGGAATAGTTCATTGAAACACACGCATTCATAGAATTTAGTTCATCTCTACAGTTTGGACAATCCCGCACTCCGATCACATCTGCGCATTGAACGCAACGATCATATTCATCTACATTTAAGGCACTGCATGTGACATGTTTATTAGCAGTGACATAACACCGCCATCTTTTCTAATTCGGTGATAGGAGCTCGTTTCATTTACAAACATCGGTAAAATTAACTGTTCAGTTTCGAATAGTTACTTAATTTAAATTTCACCAAGGTGATAATTTCCCTTTATTTATCACTATTTGCTATCATACATAAAATTACTATTAAATTCATGAAGGTAAATGAGATCAAGTTTTTCTTTCTTCAGTCCATATTCCCATATTTGTTAGATTACAGGTTTCGCTCGTATGAATAAAAAAATAAAATCTGTCCATCTGACCGATTAAGTTGCACCGTACAAAACAGTTCCCTCTACGACGAGCTCCTCTATTATCTTCAACATCAAATATATCTGCAAGAATCAAACGAGAAGATAAACGAGAATGTTTACGTCTGTTTGTCTTAGAGTAAATTCATGAAACAGCTTCTAAGATTCAGTAAATAAAGGAAGTAGAGATTGCGAAATAATCTTACTGAAATATCAAAAGTAATTCTTAATGAAAGCGGAAGTAAGATTTAAGGTTGAAATTTCCTCGTATATGATAAAGCGAATGAAGAATTGAATGTTTTCAAGGTTTTGTGTATGCAAAAAGTGCTCAGGTAAGCTGAAACGGAAACAAGCTCGGCCTGACGAGAAATGCTCGTCGTCCAACCGAACAGAGTGAATTTATTTCATGTTTATCTATCAAACACGATTTGCAAACACTCCCGTCAGCTGCAACCGAAGTGAGACATTCATGTCTTCCAGTGATGCTACTTTGTACATCAGCAAAACTAATTTAACTTCTCATTTAAATGATAGCATCTCGTTGTACTTTCATTGATAATTTGGAACAATATTGTTGACATGGTTGGGTTCAGGTTTCGTACAATTGCTTCGTAGCCTGTGATAATTTAAACTGCGTGTATTTAATGCATTTCGAAAACGGCACTTTCATATTGAGCATCACGAGCGATGAAAAAGTACCAGTATTATTTGCGACGAAAACATCATTGACGAAGCAAAAATGAATCTCGATTTTTTGAAATAATAAATAGTGGAAAGTGTTTTAGAACGACCGTATTACATCTCTGCAGACTCTTTTCAGCGAACGAGAACGAGAGCTATTTTCGGCTCAGCCTTTGCACTTAACAACCATCTTCATGAACTTTTGGTGACAGAGCTTCTTCTTGTCTTAGCGGGAACAGGTGAACGTTACCTCCCCGCTGTCACCTTTTATTTCATTCACTAATATTGCAACGAAGAGTGACAGCAATTCATTAAGTCTTAATCCAGTTTTCAAATAATTATTGAGAAATATGCTTCATCCGTTAGCATTACCAACCAATGATGCTTAAATCTCAATTCAGGGATGCAATAATGGTCTCCGCCACAATTCTATGCTAACATCCTAAAAGCTATTCATTTCCCTTAAAATTACAAAAATTCATGATAAAATTATGCAATATAATTTTGAAACACAAAGCTTATCCAACTGCATATGGTCTCAAACTCCATGGTTTTTCTTTTTCAATTAACTCTTAAACAGTTGAACAGATTAAATCCGAGAACCTGCAACGGCGTGCCGTTGAAAAGCTTCAATTTCAAAAGCCATACATGTTGAAATCTCGTCTCTCTTTTCCGCAAATCTTATAAATTATTTCATAATGACATCGGAAACTCTTTAGTGGTCACTCTTCTGTTGTTTAGGGTTCGATAGTGTTTTCTCTTAGTTATTCCTTGTCATTTCTATCCTTCGGTCGTGACAACCTTCTAACTCCCTTACGTAGGCTTTCTCTCTCGAACAAATTCACAAGCACTAATTAAGCCTAACCAAATTTACCGACAAACATTTGTGATTGGACAGACTTCAGCATCAGGAAAAAACAAAGGTGAAAAAGAAGTACTGGGATGTTACTGAGACAAATATAATCGGATTTTTCTATCCATGAGGAATTCCCTTTCTCCTTTAGGCTACGACAATTACTGATTGAAAAAAATCTAGATAAGGTCCAAAAGTATCAAACAAGGTAGTGCTTTCGCATAACGAGATTGAAATTGTGAGACGTCCGTGTTGCATTGCGATACAGCAGTGTGGTAAAGCAAAAGTGAGCGGTAAGATTTGAATTTTGAATTTGTCTGTTTGACGGAACAGTTGGTGTCGCTCTGTCCGGCTCTTCTCTTGTCGCGTGTTCTCATCCATCTGTTATTCATTTTGTTCATTTTCTGTCGCCATGTCGAACTTCTTGAAAATGTTTCGGTCGAAAAAGACGACGGAAAAGGATAACTTCAACTCGGGATATGATGAGGTTATCTCATTTTCAACGACCCTTGATTTTTCATTCATTTCGCTAATCATATTTAATTAATTTTCTATGCCTTCAACGACTCCAGATTTATGATAACATTACATCAGAAATATACGCTGTAGCCACTCGTAGCACGTTAAATTCCTCTTTTTGCTAATGTAGGGTACTTTGGGATAAATATAGTTGTGGTGGATTTGAGATGTTTTCAGGAAAAAACGAAACATCGCAGCAAAGAGACTTACGGTAATGGATCATCGAGATGTGATAAGCGAATTTCTCGAATACGGAGCATTGATGATTCACTGTTGAAGCCCACCGCTGCTTATCATACAGTTACCCAACCGAGGCAATACAAAACCTCGCGATCATGCGTCGGTCGAGACGAATACGACAAATACGACAGATTTCGTCATTCAATCGATTTTCACAATAGGGTCAATTTTTTAGCTATATATACATATATATATATTGATAACTGTTATAAATACTGTTGGGTTTAAAAAGATGATGTTAATTAATTCTACTTTCTATTTTCATCTTATATATAATTTTTTGTCAGGTTATCCAGTGTCATCAAAACGTATGGTAAGCAATGCATATTTTTTAACTGTATTTTTTCGTGATCATAATTCATAGTATTAGATTACACTTATGTTGCTGTTGCTCACAGTTCCTATCACTAATTTCTTAATTATGTTATGCATTACTTATTTTAGAGTAGTGTAAGATGTGCAAAACGGTTGCATGCTGAAAACGATCGACTCCATGATCGAGTTTCGGTGTTTACCAAGAACAACTATGACTCGGAAATTTTGGAATCTGATGATTCATACGACTCACAGAATGGTAGTGGTATTAACAATGATGATACGGTTCAGGTACATTCTTAACATTCAATAAAAGCGTGACATTTTTCCAGCAACAACTCATCTAAACTGGAGCATGAAGCGTGTAAATCATAGGAAAGAATGAGAAAGAATGACTTGTAATTTTTGTTCCGGAAAAAGAATATTAAATAGAATGAACCAGTTTTCAGGCTCTAGAGACGAAGTTAGATGCTCTTCTTTACCGTCTTCGTCGAGAAGAAGAGCGTAAAAATTCATATAAACAAAAGTTAATGTCAGAACGCATAGTACGACAACATGTTGAAAGCAAATTTGTTGAAGACATCCAGCGATTAACTCAGTTGGTAGAAATGCTCAAGAATGAGCAAAAATCATATCGAAACAGAATCAGTGTTTTAGAAAAAGTAAGCTTTTTGATGTCATTTCCTTATCCTCTTTTTCAAGTGATTATCATTGCAACAGTCAGGGTGTGCTATGTAGGACAACCGAAAAATTGAGCACACATTTTCTTGTTTCTTTCGGTATTAGAAGTGTTGTGATGCTCACTGATACCTTCTAAATATGCTTATTCTTCCCTCCTTAGTTTTTATTTGTTTTCCAGCAACTAAAACAATCTCGTCCAAAACTTATGACTGACAGCTTCAAAGGGCCATCGCTTTTTTGTTCACCACCATCGACTTCAAATGGTCAATCATCGGTACTTGCAATGACCGAATTAGCTTGTTCTGCAACTTCCGGTTCTACGGTCCCATTGCCATCCACATTACACTGTAGCACGATAAATGAAGGAAGTGTTGACGAAGTGAGGAACTTTCGCATTAATGAGGTAATACGGTTTACCATCTAAGTTTTCAAAGTTCTTATAGAAGAATGTGGAGACTTTTATTAGAGAATTTTCTTGGTGCCAAGACAAAAGATTTTGTTTCAAATCTCCGACAGAAACGGACAGGCCTTTTGTGTTCCATTTCAGCTCTTAATTGTTAGTTGCATTATTTTTCAAAATGCTTAACAAGTAGAAAATAATATATAAGATGGAAAACAGAATAAAGTTAAATGATAAAGCCATTTTCATCTATTTTTCTATTTTAGTATTTTTTGTTCATTTCTGATTTTTTATGAGCAGTTGAACAAAGTCCTGAGCTTTTGATCTGTTCGTCAATGTCATATTGTATAAATTGTTGTATTCAATACTAATAGGTCACTTCGTCTGTGGAAGCTGAACGACGCACAATATCCGGTAGCTCCTTCTCAACTCGTGAAAACGAGGGCTCGACAACTTTAGAAGAAGCTCTGCGTGCAATTGATCGTGCAACTGCTGCAGCAGCAACATCACCACATGAATTTGGTGATAAAGCAGTAACATCAGGGATTCGACGATCGAGTAGTGATACAAAACTTGGACAGCGTGATACAATGCTTAAATCTACTAATATTTAAGCGATAAAATTAGCTGGGCATAATCGATACCAGTGTTGATGCTTTTAGATTTAAGAGAAATTTCAGGGGATAAAGTGATCTTTAAAATTGATAGGGCACACATTACATTGAATGACTGAAAGTTGCTCTGGTGAGTTAAAATTTCATAATTTGCTTTGTTTAACTGTAACTTTTGATTTTTTCATTTGATGCTTTGATGTTGGCACTGCTTGCAGTGAGTGATCATGCTTCTTTATTTTACGTCTTATAGTCAAAACTTAGTAATGTTTGAATTTGAAGTGTTGATATGTTGTTCTTATTTGCTATGCTTAATGCATTTATTCGGACTCTGTTGAGATAATTGATTTATCAGTGTATGAAGCATTCGTTCTAAAAACAAACACGTAATAATTTTTCGTTATCATCGCATTAACTGGTTTATCCGTCGAGCACACCTTTTTGAGTTGATTATAGAGAAATTTGTCTAATCTTCGTCTGCAGACTTAAATAGCAGTTCAGTGATGTCCTTGACGTGTAGTAATAGTATTTCCATATTTTATATCTCACAGCACATGCTATGATAGGATAAAATTGTATATGAATATTAAGTCACGGGATAAAAATGTTCACTCGGCTCTATTATATGAGAAATTTGAAGTTTAAACATCTTACGGCATGATTCTAGTAACGCATTAGTCGGAAAGAAACCATACATATGTTAGAATGGTGATCAGAAATAGTTATAGCAACGATAGAGTAGCAATGGTGAATGAAGATAAATGGATTTCTGTAACTAAAGCTAACTCAGTTTTAGTTTAGAATCTCTCATCCAATTTAAACATTGTATTCGCGAGCAACCGTAGTTTCCAATTTTTCTTTCTTTTTATCGATGGATACTGACCTGAACATGATCCCAAATTACTTCTGATATCTTGAACAGGAAAGGCATTTTTTGAAATCTTAATTTCGAGTTTTGCCCGATCATGTTAATTATCCGCATTTGTAGAAGAGAGTGGATGGAGAGAGAAATTTCGTTTGTTAATGCAGAAGAAGGGTTGGTGGTGAAGATCTCTTCTTTCCCTCCAAACAATTAATGCCGGCTACACAAAGGGTCTCTTCCCTCTTCGCTTTTCTCAGGTATCAAAGGAACGGCCACTCTTCCCTACCCATTTCCATCTCTACTTGCTCTTGCTCGGTCAACTATCATCTTCATTTGTCTACTACTTCCCTCTTGGAAACCTCATCTTTTCCTTTTCTGCTTGCTATCTTTCAGCTAGAATTTTAATTTATTGTAAAAATGAAATTGAAAGAGAAGGCGATTCCCATCATCACGGGATTTCTGTCTGTCGTGTCGGATGGCAAACTTGTTTGCAGGGATCAAAAGTGTTGGATCATGAAGTGTGGGCATATCTAGTCGTGCTTGGTCTTTTGATCGAATGATATGGTTGCTCATTTTAAAATAACCTCCGGCCCTTTTGAAATGAAACTTAAATTAATTCTCGTGATAGAGCCGGCGCGTTGGTTGCTTGGTTGCCTGTATTATTAAAGCTGTTTTCTTTCGGAATTATTTCGAATCCGTCTTATTCTCTCTCCATCTTTACCGCAATATTCCGGAATCATTTGCCCTGCTTATAATGCACATTTTAGAGGTGGATGCAATGATTAAAAATTGGTTAAAATGGAGGAAGACGAAGAAAGTGGTAACGGTACGTTGTTTTCTATCAAGTTCTTTCCGTCCACTCAACTTCGCCCCGTTGTGCTCGCTATTTCAATTCAATCTACAAATTAATTTTTCCTTCTAGAAAAAAATTTGGCAATGTTCCGAAATTATCAGCGAATGAATCAGAAATATTCAGGGAGATGAAACTTATGGAATCTCCGGAAAAGATACTCAACGTAATTATCAACGCAACGCTACAGCAGCCTACCATACAGCCACTCGACCGCGCGTATGTCATGGTCCACGCTCATGTCCTGGTGATCTAAGTCTTAATCAATATGATGTTTACAGTGATGCTCCGACTCGTTTTCTATATTCAGATATTATTCCCGATGAAATGGTTCGTAATGATTTCGAATTTCGAAAGCATTTCTGGCAGTACCTAATTACTTCACCATGCTGTAGCTATTTTTCAGTTTTGTTTTATTTTGAATTATTCATCTTGCTTCTTCTCTTAAAAAATTTACTTTATGGAACTCACTGTTCAGAAATTTTGATCCTCTCAATGCTATTGAAGTTTCCTTCTCGATAAAAGTCAAATTAATCGTAGGTTCATCGACGCCGTCGACAGCAGCGGCGTTTCCGGCGCTTTAATGCTTCCACGTCAGAGTACGGCAGTGGTGATCCATCACCAACAACTTTGCATAACATATACAATCGTAATTTGGATGATTCAAATTCCGGTTCAGATTCTTGGTCGGCGGAATATGAACGGGCACAACACATTAGGGTTAGTTTAGGAAAGGTTAAACGGTATGATCATTCCATTCTTCTTTTTCTGTTAATCAGTAAGGAAGAAAAAAGAAACCAAATGATGTGTCAACTGTTTCTCCTCGAACTAAGTTTGTGAAGCCTTCCAGGAGATGGAGTATAGACTTCGAGAACAGAGAAAGAAGTTAAAAGACTACAAAGAAAGGTTACGAGCTGAAAGAGATTTGAGGACTGTTAACGAGAGAAGTATGATGGAAGAAGTGGAAAAATATAAATATGAATTGAAGAAGGAACAGAGAGAGAGAAAAGCAACCGAACAACGATATATCGATATCATCGCTTATATGAAAACCAAACTTTCGGTAGCTTTTTCACTCATTATGTTTTCGTTTCACATTTTTAAAATTTCAATGCCACTACATATATAGAGATACAATGATCATGCGATACTCCATCACTGTATTTGCAGTATGAGATACTTAAAAGACATAATATTCAAAAGAAAAGCTCCAAACAAGTTAGCACCATTCCGTGTTGCCCGGTAATATCTATGCAGCAGTATTACATAGGGAGCTGATGTGTGGAACCAAGTGACAGACTCTTCTAAGGAATGTATTTCGTCTAATAATTGTTCGGTGCTGTGGTGCTGCAGTCCGTTTTTAAAATAATAGAAAGAAGCTGCTTCGAGATCGCTTACTTTAGATCACTTTATTCTTACAACCTGCACTTGGGGGAGAAGAGAAAAGGGCAAGAATGAAGTGGAATTCAGTAATTGTCTTCGTAACTTTGTTAAATTCCATGGTCAAAATTCACTAAATCTTGACAGTTTCAAACTACTAGAGTTAAATTGCTTGAAGCTTCTGGAACAACAACAACCAGTGGGACAGCGATGTCTACCGCCACCGCTACCATTTCTTGATGATTCAACCATCAATCTGCAAAATGGTGCGACACAGCTCGGTGGTACCGGTGGATTGCTGTATCCTTTGCAAGCAAATGCTTCATCATCAATTTTACGGAGAATCAGTTTCGAGCAAGAGTTAGATGAAACAAAAAATTTCCGAGCTGAAGAGGTATATGGTGACTTGGAAACTGCTCGAAGCAGTGAAAATACCGCAACGACAGGTACGGAGCAATCCGACCGAAATCACCGATCGGCAACGCTGTTAAGAGAACACGATTCCGACAACGACGATAATGGCTACGTGACCACATTTGAGTACCCTGTGAAAATTACACAAATTCGCAAGACCAATGGTCAACTGCGCACATCGTTATGAATTCTGACCCTACTACCTTTCTATGGTTATGTTTGCTTTTCAGTATAGTGATTTTGTCACTTTATGTTACACTAAAAGCATTACTAATGAATCATTTCTGACAATTTTTTGTCGCAATTTCCGGCAAACTTTTTAATCAGAACCTCATTCTGATTAAAAAGTTTGCCGGAAATTGCGACAACTGTTTTACTTTGCTTTTGTCTAATTGATGATTTGTTCATTTATTCCAGTGTTTTTCATTTCGCCCACACTGTAATAGAAGTGCAACAACCGATATTATTAATAAACAATTAATTAAGCAATTAATTCGCTGATTATTTGCTGAGTGAGAATCAAAAATCACTTTCGAGCATTACCATCATTACGTTGATCATTGCTACCCAGCAAGGATCGGTCAGATGGAATAAATCAAAATGATCAGCACTTTGACGAGGTTATTTCATACGCATTTCTTTGTCCTAGAACTGATGGTATCAATCAGTTGATAGTCAATGACATCTATAAGCTGCAAAAGCAGTTTATTGATGACAATCAATTGAATTAGAGCACATCAAATGATCAATGAGCAGAATGGAAAGCCAATATTAGGATTGAGTTGTAAGAACTTAACTTTGCTAATCATTGTGCTGCTTTCTTCACAACCATCTGAACGATCGCTTAATCTATTTCATGTTGTTGAGTTGTTCAAAAGGATTCTTTTAAACTTCCCTCGTTGAAAGCATCAGCAATATGGGACAACAATTGTAAGAATTGTCTTTAACGGAAAAGTACTATATGCATAAATATTGAATCCGAGAAGCCGTTTAATTTATTAGCTTACTGCATTTCAAAAAATTCTCATATCTGAAACTGTTTAAGATCCTACGGCTTTTCATCATCGCACTTTTCATAACACAATCTCGTTCGAGCTCGGTTTTTCTCAGCTGTAAATCATCAACCGCTTTATGAGCTATTCCAACAATTTTCAAACATTGCATACCATCGCGGTCTTCGAGCCTCACACAGCTAACGCTCTTGAACTTCGAGACGTTCTTGACAGCTTGCATAATATTCATAATAATCGTTTTAAAAGTAAAGTAAATAATGATTTCTTGCAGAAACAAAAGTTTCATATCTGTATGACAGATTCAATATTTCACATCGGGAAGACCCTTCGATCTTTTCACTTGATTCAAGGGAGTGAGCAAAAACTCGAAGTATCTGTAATTAATTTCCTATTTTAACAGGTTCGAGAACTTACGGCTTGCTTTTTTTCTCTTCTAAGTACCTAAGCTTGAGTTTTAATCAAAATTTATCTCTTCTTGGGACTCAGATCAAATATTATAAAAGCCCAAACAATAAAAATAACAAGCAATAAGGAATAATTCTATGTTAAAACGATTTTCACAGAAGTAAGATAAGCTAATAAATGCTTTAACAATGTACCGCCCGCACAAATTAAGAGCGAACGAAAGGAAAGGATTAGAAGAATTGCCCGGGGTGAAGCCTTTTACTGGCAGCGTGCATAACAGCAAATACAACAATTCTATATTAACAAATCGGTTCTAAGCTGCAAAGATTCCTACGATTGTATTGATAAAGCTGTTGAATTCTTTATCAGAAAAGTGAATTTTGGGGGAATGCAAGAGAGATTTAAAAGGCTGTCACAAATTAAGCCTGACATTAATAAAAAAAAGGGATGGAATTGGAAGACAAACCAAAAGAAAAAGCTAAAATAAAATGTTTGATAGTAAGGTCAAATTAATGTGAGATGATGCTTTTAATGACAGCCTTTCCAAACTCCAACAACAGTAGAAATTTATTTTCATTAATTAAGATAGCAATGGATAGTAAGGCTATTAATCTTTCGTATTCTTCAAGACATTATTGCCGTGATCAACGTTTTGAGTATGCCGCACGCGCATAGAAGATTTGAGAAGTGAAGGAAGCAAATTTTAACTTCATTGATAATGATGGTTGGATGATAGGATAAGAAGGAAAATGGAACTGAAGTTTGAATGAAAGGAAGAAAACAGAAAATGAAATATGGAAATGACTTGAAACTCAGAAGGGAAAATGAAGAGTGAGTCAAAGCTAACGATGAGTGGCTTCAAACTAAATTTAATATTCAAAGCACTCTCTACTGAACGATTTGCACGAATGCACCGTAACATGCATAGTGTTGTCATATTTATTTAATTTACAGAGCACACCTACCTAGCAGCCTTTCGTTGTGAATTCAAAAAGAATCAAATTTTCTTTCCTTTTCGATTATTTATTGAAATACCTTTAACAGGTAGTAATCGAATGGATACCACGAAATTATTCATCAAATAAAGCGAAATTTCCAATATCATTGGATACTATTCGTTCCAAGTTGACTCTCTTTTGCTGATACCATCAAAAGTTCATTGCGGTGTTTTTGCATAGATTAAAATAATTTGAAAAATATTTGAGAATTTTTCAAAGGAATGATATTTATAAAACATAAAGGGAAAAACAGGAAGGAGAAGCATTCCAATGATAAGCAGTAGTGGATAAATGAAGCCAAAGTGGGAAGCAAAGATAATGAGCTTTCGATAATGAGCTAATAATGAGCTTTCGAATAATGAGCTAATAATGAGCTTTCGAAAGTGGCCAGGATTGACCTCCCAATGCGCCCTCTTCCGAACCTCATTCTCTATTCGGTCTCAATTTGCATGGAAGAGGGTACGGAAGAGATCCTTCCCTCTGGCGACTAAGAAAAGGATAAGGAGAAGGAGAAGGAATTACAGAGAAATTTCAAAAAACTGACACCACTCAATTGTCACCATCACTGAGGAGTGAAAGTTATTAGTTTTGAAGAAGTAACAGAGGTCAAGTGACAAATCTTGTAGTATCGCGGCAGAGAACTGTTGAAGAAACAATTTCTCCAGCTCCTATCATTATCATTTGGATATTTGAACTGATAAGGTTCCAATCAGTGACCACTTCAGCTATCATATCAATTAGCTATTTATTAGATCACTCCATGGGATGCTGTCCCTTAATTATCTCACCATTTTCACCTCGACTCTCTATTCCTTTCAACTGCTGGTCAGTTTAATTCCAGTTCTAAATCACAAACTTCATGTCTGAAGAGATATCACATCACATGGATGGAGTGAATGATAAATGATGAGTGAAGATGACTCAGTCATTCTGCATTTCGGACAGAAGTCATATGTGACAACCGCCAGTCACACATACAATTGACTGCACTCGATAACCTCTGACCCGGGCATCGCTGACCACGAGTTATCACTGTTGCTTTTGTGCTGTTAACATTGTATCGGTTGGATGTGAGTTTGAATTGAAATCATTCTCAGTTAATTCATCCCCGTCGATGTTATGTAAGGAGGGTGCGTTGGTGCTATTTGGCTTTTTCCAATCATCTTTAAAGCTTATCATTTTATTTCACGAAGCATGTATTATTATTCTTCCAGGATTCTTGACCAGTCACGAGACCGGAATGACCCAGCGACTGCAATGCTTGATTTGTTTGGATGCCCTTCCCTTAAGTGAAAGTGCTGCCTTACGTTGTGGCCATATATTCCATCTACACTGTATCTTACAATGGCTTGAGGTAAAGCTCCATTTTAAATTTTATTTTCAGATTGTTTCCTTCCTTCTTTATTATAATCACTTTCTCCAATTCATGATTTAAAGGATCAAGCTAGTGTTGTTTGATCTACAATGCTAATAACTGCTACTGTCTGTAGCGTTATCTGTAAACGTGAATTTCCCATGCTTTCATTATGCATTGGTAAGTGTCTGTCTTATTGCTCGTGCTAACCACTGAGGTGCTATCTGTTCGACGCGGATAAGGAAAGGCATAAAGATGGTAGACAGATTTTCAGCAATCGTAAACAAATGGAAAAATCGTAAACAAATTGGTTGACAGAACTGAGGTATCAGTCCGAATTTATATACACAAATGAATGATAGTTAAACATTTTGATGTCTCATTTGCAAATGATTACTCTCAAAGACATTGCTTTTAATGACTCATGACTAAATTTCGTATTATGCTCTCTTCCGTTCTTATCCTCTTTTTGAACTTCTCAAAGATTTCTTGAATATTGCAGAGCTGCAAAACATGTCCAGTTTGTCGAAAGAAGGCTACAACAAAGGATCTCATTCGACAGCTCTTTTTTCAAATGGAAGAAAATAAAAGCTTCAATTCCGATAGCACTGATCCACTTGAAATGCATAATCAAGTTTCTTATTTGTTCACCTTTTATAAATTGCAAAGGCTTTCTTTGAAAAATATAATTTTGGAGAAAATAATGCATAATTAACGTATGCACCTCATCTACTTGACTATGATTTTTTTTACTGGAGCGCATATGCTTAATATTATCTTCATACGATTGTATGAATTAGTACATCATTTTGATTTTCTTATATTGCAATATTTACAGCTTCAGAATGCCCTGGATAATCTCGAGAAGGAGAGGCTGGCTACCGCTGAAGCCAAGAATGAAGCAAATGCTTATTTGGCTGCAAATCTTTTATTGGTACTATTCGCTTATATCCAAAAAAAGCATTTATTCACCTGTAATAACTCTCATGTCATTTTTAGTTTGAGTTTCAAAGGACATTTTGTTTAAGTTGATTTTATTTATATTTTATCTTCATGTCGCGCTTTTCTTTCTGCTTTTCCTGAAGAAAAGTTTCTAATAAGCTAGGTGACTGAAGCGGGCAAAAAGAGGCACTGAGAGCTGTTAAAGACTTTTCATGTTGTCTTTATTGTTTCTTTTCTCCACCAAACAATAAATTGATAGGAATTGACAAAGTTTGTCAAATTTTTTTATAAAAGCTTCAAATTTAGAAGGAAAAAGTTGCAAATTTGGAATCGGTTTCTCGACTTAATGTACAACAAATCAAACATCTGGAAGGTATGCTTGAAAAACAACTGGATACGGAAAAAGAGCTGCAGAAGTACAAGAAACGATTGCAAGCTTCTGCATTGTGAGCTCTTTTACACTATCGCTTCGAAATGCTTCCCAAAATTCGGAATATTTTTGGATATACCATCTAGTAAATCATTAAGGCTTTCACACTAGTACTTGCACTACTCTGCTTTGACTGAGATGCTTAAGTTGTGTCATTTTACCTTCTTCAGGCTGGTTTTAATAAAGAGAAGTTCGTCCTTAATAATTTGATTAAATGTTCATATTTAGCGTATGAAGTTGACGTAGTACTCCAAACTAAATTTACATTGTCCTATCTTTTGCAGCTATAGATTGCTTAGTAGTATAAAAGATGAACCTGTTTTGGAAATCGATAAATACATCGCCAATGAAGGATTAGAAATGAAGAAATTCATTGCCCTGCTGAGGAGGTAATGTAGCCCAGTTTTCACATTTTCAAATTGTAAGTGTATAGAAAGTGGCAGTGACAACTAGTAGAGGCAATTTTTTATCATCGTAACAAAAAAAATGGTTTTTCTAATTTTATCTTTAATGATTAGATGTAGAGTCTGCACTCTTGTTAAGATAGTCACAATCATAATGCCTCAGACGAAATTCTGCACTGTTGGATCAGATCACATAGTTATGCTTTTCCTGTAACTCCAATATTTTGCAGAATACACTGTTTTTTTTAGATACTGCTAAGCTTCCTAGCTTTTTTCCAACTTTTTTCCACATACAGATTTTTTCCGAATACATCACAGATTAATGAAACATGTAGCTAAGTTTGATTTGATAAAACCGATTTATAATTTGTTGCAGACAGTTGAAAGATGTCATGAAAACAATAGAAAGTCAAAAAGAAGAACTTCAAGAGAGCCGGAAAAAAATCAGTGAATTACAGAAAAAAGTAACTGTACTTTTACTTTCTTTCCTCTACTTCGTTTTCTTCCTTCGTTTTATTATCTGATAGACTTGAAGGTAAGCTGTATAAACAATGTCAATCAGCTAAAGTTTATCAATATCAGGGAAAATTTTGAGATGCAGAATATAAAATCTCTACTGATGCACACTGTTGGTGGTGCGTTACTTATATTTATATTTTTTTTCATGTATTTTTTTAACTTCAATCTTCCACTTGCTCTTCTTCGACATTGTGATTTTCAGCTAAATGAACATAAAGATCTCAATATAGCATTGGAAAAAGAAGTTGCTTTAGCTCGAGCGGATTCTTCACAGACAATTATGAATGGAACGGTTGAAAAAGTTACTGCTTTTAGGTTAATTTAATTGTTTTTTGTCGTAGCTTACATCTTGCCATTCTTATCTCTATCAAGCTGTTTTAGGCCTCAAATAAACATGTCGTGAATATGTTATGAAGGAAGCTGAATTACTAGAAATGTTTGATAAGAAGCAGACATTGCTGGTTACAAGTTTTTCTTGCAGTCCAAAGCAACATTCGTTTTCACCAGTTGACGTAGATGACTGCAAAATATTCTCAGCTTCACTTACAGCTTCGGCATGCAAAACTTCTGGAAATAGTGCTCTGGTGCAAAAGATACAAGGGACGACGCCAATTCGAAACAATTTGGAAATTTCCGTCTTCAGAGATGAAGCAGAAAGGTTGGTGTGATGTTGTGAAGGAATGCTGCCACATTTATTAATATTGCATTCTCTCAATCAGTGCTTCTGAGAGTGTGATGCAGTTACGAACCAAAAGATCCATTGAAAGAGGGTGTTAATACTGACCATAAAAACTTATAAATTAGGCAGCAATAAGAATGGTTTAATTAGCAGAAAATGATAATTCCTTAAACAGCATTAATTATCCAAGTCGGTTCTCATGATTTTAAAATTTTGAGATATGGTAGTGGTATAAATGAAACCCAGTGCTTCAACTACTGGTCTTTTTGAGATTACTTCTAGTGTTTAACTGCATGATGCTACTGTTTGCTAATCCTAATTTAAGTTTTCCTAATCGATTTTCATAAGGTAAATTCTTAAAACTAATATAAAAAATTATGTTGTATTGATAATCCAATAATCATTTCAAATATAATACAGTTTAATGGGAAAGATCTGGAAGAACGAGTTACAAGCAGATATTGAAAACGATATGGAAGAAGTTTTTGTGCCTCCTGTTATTCGAAAGTGTGCTACTACAACACAATTTCATAGTACTTCACGTAAAACTGTTGCTGTAAAGCATAATCAAGTGATCAGAAATAGAGAATCGCTGAAGAAGAGAAGTTCTTATGTTCAGCACTGTAAAAAAAGAGAACCTCGATGTTCACGGTACTGTATTTGAAAAATGCTGCTATTACCATAGACTGAATCACTGATAGTAATTGTGATGCATCGCGACATTTATATTTTTTTTTGCTTCTCGACTTTTTAGAAAAAAGTTTGGAAAAAAATTTTTGTTTGCGATGACCATATACATAACGTATCCTATCCTATATCGTGGAAAAGTTACAAAGTATAAGTTATAGATATGTGAGGTAATAGAACGATGAGTCAGCAAGGAGAAAAAACTGCATTTTGACAACTGATCTATATATCCATATTTTCAAAAAACGAAATTTCCAATTCTAGTGTGTGTTATTTCTCTGCAACATTCATTCCATCAGTCTTTAAAAATTACTGAATAAAACTCATATCAAGGATTTAATGCTTGCCAGTAATTTTAAATAAAAATTTAATTGATACACTTAGTTATAGGTTTGTTGCTGCAAAATTATGTAATTATTCTCGGATTTAAAGACACATTCAAAAACGTACAAAACAATAAGAGCATTGCTGTAAATTTTAGTAGAATTTATCGCCAAAAAATATTTTTGGAGTCGCCACAGATTTGCATAAAATAAAAGTTACTTTTCCATTATATTTGCTAAGAAAAGAAACAAATCAACCGAAATTCATAGTATATTTACTGTAAATCCTACAAATTTATTCGGTTTTCATTTTTGCTTCTGCAAGGCAGTTATCAGATCGAGTATTAAAATCAACAAGATGTCAAGATTTTTGAAAATTCTGGTTAGCTTTTTCATGAAGTCTACAAAGTCGAATTTCCTGTTTAAACTTAGAATCACTTTCTTCTTTATGATATCAGTTCCTGAAACATGTCACAACATTGGAAAGAGCACTACTTCCATATCTCACGTAAATATGTTTTCAGCTGGGCAATATTCTTGAAACTTTGCGAAAAAAATTGAAGTAATTTGCAACAATTCTTATCTTTGCGATGGTTGATTGCGTTAGATGAGATAAAAGACGAAAAATTATAAATTTTCAAGAAAGAGGTTCTCAGAAGTTATATTCGAAGAATTGCGCATTAATAGCGATTGTGATGACACTAACGCGACAGTGTTACTGATTCCATTAGCGACGACGATATCCTTGTTTCTGAAGGCATGGTGGAATAACTCTTTCTATGTGGACAAAAAATCCTCGCACGATTCCTATTTTATGAGTACAAGGCTACCGTAGATGTAAGCTTACCTTCGATATTTTCTTTTAATTACACTTCTCGAGTTGTTCTATTTAAAGCAACCATAATTCTGTTTCATAAGTGATTGGTCTCTTCTAGTTCTAATTATTACGAGTGCTGAGGGAGAGGAAACTGATGGCCAGGTTTTAAAGTTGTGAGAAACTTAAGCTTTAATGCTCGCAGAATGATTTCATCGGTGGTGTCTGTTGCTGAATAAAGGCGAAATTTTCTACTGGCAGTAGTAGCGATATTAAATTATTTTTGATTCAATATAATCAATTTAAATTTTTATTTGTGATCATTGAAGGAATTGGAAAGAGACTCAAATAAATGCATAGTTCTACGAGGAGTTTGATGCTTGATTCATTAACCATTTGATTCGAGCAGTTTCAAGTCAGAAATAAGTGATATCCAATTTGTGGTACAAACAAAAAAAAGATGGCAGGAGCATGGAGGAAATGAAATGTTGTGCAGCAGGTCAGTGCGTTACTTGAAATATATGTAACGAACTTAATAGCAAAGTTTCATTTGATAAAATAACAAAATATTTCGCATCCCAGCCAAAAAAAAAATCATTTGTCATGGTTTGATAAGTGTTGGATTGCATTAACGGGGAAAAGATAAATATATTTTTTGTCAAGCAATAAACTAAAGGAATAAATAAAAAGTATTATGACAAATTAAGAAGACTGAAAAGAAATAAGTGGATAGTGGAAGTAGAAAATGACTGTGGTTTTTGATGGCACTTCTACTTGGAAAAATTTCAGCAGAAGGGATTAGGAGATCGCATTGCTTAATGTAGCAGTACCGCGCAAGCAGAATGACAAATTTATAAAAGATTTCGATCTTCTTCGCATAAATTTTTGCAAAATCCAAGCAGATTTCTTTTAAAGCGCCCAGTATTTGCTTTACAAATACCATTCAGTAACTATGTGCTTCTCGCAACGATATCTTGCATACGGTCACTCACGCTTGTGATTTGCTGATCCGAGCTCATTTGTTCGTAGTTCACTTTTAATAAATTCACTCTTAAAGCGAACTTTCCTGATTTGATTTATTTCCGTACCATGGATGTATTGCTATCTCAATGAGGAAATAGTGTGACGATTTCAAAAATATGAAATAAAAAAAGGTAAAATTTTCTACTTAGCTCAGAAAACGATGTTTGTGTAGAAGCTTATTAAAGTGTCGTTGTTTGAGAATCATGTTTATAATTCATGTTTTTGTGGGGAATCATGACTGCACATATTATTATTATTGACAATCACTCTGTATTCTCATAATTCGTGAAAAATTTATGTCATATTATTCTCTGGTATTGAATTTTCTTCATATTAGAATTGCAAGTCATAATTATAAGTAGAGAAATTTAGGTGCTTGTTTATCGGATTATATCTTTATCACAATTCTTTGCTTTATAACACAGTGATTTATTGATGTAGAAAAACATTCGCTTCATATTAATCGTTTAAGAATATAATTAATTGTTATGAATTATTGATAATGTTGCATTTTTTATTATTTTCATTTTTTGTGATCTCCAGTCACGCTTGCGTCTGAATGTAATGGACAGCAAAAGGCTTTTCCCAGAAATTTGGGCAGACGACAATCAGATGTCTGGACTTATGTCCATGATAAAGGTATGGTGCATTTCCGATTTGCAGTTCATCAAGAATATCGGTAAACAATGTAGTTGATAACCGATTTAGTGTCAGATCTCAATGTCCTAACCATCATGTGTAGCAGAATGAATTGACTGATTATTATCAACTTGACAGGTGACGTAGTTATTTATAAAATGCTGAGAGAACCCATATTATGCAAAGAAGCCAGAGAAAACCACCAAAGATTTTAATAATTAGTAGAATAAAAAATGACAAAGGTATTTATAAAATGGTGGATGATCTTGATATATGCCGTTCTAAGTTTATTGTCAACTTTTTAGAATCCATAAAATATAGCTTGATATGAAAGGGCTTATTGGGATAATTGTATTTAACACTTTTTTATTTCAGTAATATACACTAATTTCATGCTTTTTTTGATTTAGGCACGGGAAGTGAATCCAAATGATTATGATCGAAAAATAGAATTTTGGTCTGACATGATTGCAAAATTATGCGATAGTGAAAAAAACTCAATCTTCACTATCGACATATTAAAACGGCGTTTTCGTCGGGGTGATCAGCTACCAGGTTCTCTTGATGTTGTTATTCAACATATGCTTAAGTAAGTTTTTCATTTTAGTTAAACTTTTTCTTTTATTGTCATCCTTCAATGACAGTTTGCTAAGCTTTTTATCTTTTGCTTTTGCATTAATACAAAGACTTTTCCCAATGCAGCGTTATTTCTATAATAGCACACATTAAAGAAATAATTTTCATCATTGCAAATCATATCTCTTTCCTGTCAAGTGATATCGGTGGTTGAGCGATTATATTTCTGCTATTAAGATGTATCAGTATATTAAGATTCTCGTTCTCCGTGTATATGTTGGTAGCACGGAATGACAGTGATAAAATGTCAAAAAATTCGTGAAGTTCCCTCATATCACATATATACAGGAAAAAAAGCGCTATCGGAAAGTGGGTGAACTAAAACGCACACATTTGACTGAATAATTAAAATTTTTTTAGAATACTTAAATAGACTATATTATTGAAACTGCTGAATGCGTTACATTATATACACTGTGGATCAAGTGTAATTGTTAAAATTCGATTTTTCATGGGCAGATTTTTTAGTACAGGTGAAATTATCACTTTGGATGATTACAAAGCCCGAAATCAGAATTGGCTTCAACGAGGATATAGGTCATTCGTGGGAAGTTTATGGGGTGCGGCCAATGATAACCAGACAGAATATGTTCATCTCTTGACTGTTCAAGTAAATATATTACTTTTTATTGGATCTTACAAATAACTTTTCTTGCTACATTTTCCATTTCTTAATTGCATCTGTACAATTCGAAGTGGTTTTTTCAGGAAAATTTTTTTAAAAAGTTGTTTCCTAAATGTCGGCGTTTTCAGAAACATGCTAACAGTATGTTGGAATTTTTCCGGAGTGAATATGCTGTCGATGATGATATGCTGCCGGAAATCGTCGACTCGGCAGAATTTTTTGACGAATGTAGAAATTTGGTTGCCAACAAAAAAACTTACGATGTAGCATTAGCAGAACTTGTTAATCGAGGCGAAGTTTGTTACTATAGATCTTATTTTTTCTTTTTATGTAAAAGGAATGGTGATTATGATTCGACCAAAAGATATATGTGGTTATCTTTACTGCCTTCTGTTAATAGTTCATCTTGTTCCTTTTTTTATTAAGACTGGTTTTCGAATAGCTTCTAGAAATAACTGAGAATGTCTTTGAATTTTTTATATTACCGATCATGCATCTAATTTTATTTTCTTTATTTGACTATTTTTACGATTGTAACATTGCAGATAACGATAGGTTCCTCTAAAATAGGTGAAGAAATTTTGAAATTCCGTGACAATGCCGCTCGTGGTCCGATAAAGTGGACAGAATCTGATGCCAGTGTTCACGACATGAGGAGAGCGATGAGCAAATTAGAACAGGAGATCAAACGGTTGGAACTGAAAGCGAAGAAGTGAATTAATTTTAATGATATATGGGTTTTGCTACCTTATTTCTATATATTGCTTCATCCATATTATTTTGTGTTATTATTTATCATTTTTAAAAATTCCTCTTTCAGGGCTGAACAAGATGCTCGCCTGTACATACGTCAAGGTGACAAAAATCATGCTGCTCATTATTTACGTCAAAAGAAACGGGCTTTGAAAGAAGTTGAAGCTAAAGATAATCAGTATCAAAGGCTTCTGGAAATGATGCAACAATTAGGACGAACAAAGCAAAATAAGCAAATTTTGGATGCATACAAAGCTGGTGCTGATGCTTTTAAAGCTGCTTTGCAAAGGCAAGGCATTTCCCCTGAAGAGGTATGTTTTTAAAATAATTCTCCTGGTGTTTTCAGTTCATTTTAATTGACTTTATTGGTTTAATCATTCTTTGACTTGGTATCTGTTCTCTTTGCTTTTTTAATATAAAGTGAATATTATAGGAAGTGTTCTCTTTATTGTTACAGATTGATGAAACTATGGATAATATCGGTGATGCGATGGCAACCGCGGAGGAAATTCAAGACGCTATTGCTGCTGGTGTACCATCATCGGTTACAGATGAACTTAATAAAGATCTGGAAGTTGAATTGAATGCCATACTTGCTGGAGACAACAGTGAGCTAGATTTACTGATTAAAAATTTACCGGATGTATCACCAGAAAAACCTTCCGCAGCAGATCCTATTAAAACTGCTAATGTTACTGCAGATGATTCAATCGCCGCACGTCTAAAAAGGTTACGTGAAGCTGCTTTACCATAAAATTTGATTACTGTGTTCATGTAATGTCTTATTACAAACGGTTCTGATCAATAGACATTACCAGTTTTATGCAATTTAGAGCTTTCTTCAATATTTTGTATTTTTTCTAAGGCAGAGTCTTATGAAATTTTGTTTAGTATATGTAAGAAAATTTTAATTGAATATTACTATTCTGATTTATCTATAACAGCATATAAGATTTTGCAAATATTGCTAAACGCAAAATTTTGTTTTGAATTATTGGCTTATAGTTGTAGGAAAATACTTTTCTCTCAGTTGCTATCTATTATCTGGTGATTATTGGTCAGATTATATTGTAATTTTATTCTTTGCTTTCTACGTTCTTCGTATTGTACAGTATGCTGCTTATATTCTTTCTTTTTCTTTCTCAAATATTCATATTTAATTGTGGAAGAAAAAAGAAATAATTTTAAAAATGAAGTTTATGAATGCGTACTGAGTACCATTTCTAAACATAAGAACAGTATTGTAATGATAGGATGATGCATCATGGATATTTTCGAATATTCTTTTCCCTTTTTTTTTAAGATTTAGCACAAGAAAAATTTCCTGATAATCTAGAAGCATTTTTCTTAAACATTGGTAATGAATTAATGGAATATCAGCGGTTCAAACTTAAACTTTTATAACTGGGCCATAAAAACTTTGCATCTGTTTTGCATTTTATACAATTCAAGCGATTCAGCTTTTTGTGCTCTGTGATTTGATCATTTTCCATATCACAATTTATATAATTTTTTTATTGCTTAGTAGAGTTGAACTTTTGATTAAATATTTGATTGACGAAATAAAGCAATAAAGATGAAATAAGTTGTGATCAAGTGATGTAGAATGACAACATTTAGCAAATATAATTTGATTATCAAAATCCAAACGCAAAAAGAAGTGATCCATTTGACATGAAAAAGAGGGGCGTATAATGCGGTCGATTATTTGTTCTTTTTTGACTAATACTGTGCTATATTATTGTACTCGAATGGTAAGGAAATGTCCCATTAATGTACAGGCCAGTGGCTAATGATTAATGTAAATGCCGTTTACTAATTGTTGTGGAAGTATTCGATTGTTTTTGGAGATGACTTGGTACAAATGGATCTATCCGGATAAAACAGTTTTCTTCCATAATTCTTTTTTACTCCCTCAACAACAATTTCTTCCGGTAGTGCAACATTTAATTGCCCATTTTAATCAGTAGCGTATATTACACTAATTTTTAATAGTATGATTTGCGGGTTTGATAGTAAAAGTTTATGCGATTTTGAATTTCGGACCGTTCTGTACATTCCACCAGCACGACTTTTCACTGTTGAAAGATGTCAACGATTTATTGACACTTTCACGCGATATCTTCAACTGATAATCAAAGATTTCAAAATATTAATAACTGAATTCACAAGAGAAGCAAAAGATTCACAAGATTTTGTTGCTGAATCCTTCAATGGACGCAAAATTAATTTTCCGTACACGTACATAAACATCGAAAATTATGCAGAAATTCTTTATTATAATTCTCTAAAGTACAGTTTATTAATTTACAACCGAAAAGCTAATCTTCAGCTTTGATTGAGTCTGTGAAGCGAAAGCAGGGCAAGTCGGATGATTCGAACAATTTCAGAAATTTTTAAAACTGATGTGATTAGATTTTCAAATCAGTTCTGTCTTTCAAAGGTTCAAAACTTGTTTCATCCATTCACTTAACCATTTACTTTTATCAGTTGACCGGATCTTTTTTCCGTCCACTTTAAATCACCGGATAGAAAGGTCCGCTTAGCAATCACAGATACCGTCAGCAATCGTTTCACATTGCATTTTGTTGCGTTCCATACGATCAATCCACAAACAATTCTTGAAATGTTCCTTTGTTTTATGAATTCCGGAAAGATTCATATCGGAGATTTAACTTCGCAATATAAATAGAAGATTTCTCGTCAAAATTTGCTTCATTAAATTTTAATTTAAATCTTAAAAACTCCTCACATTTATAATCGTAATATAATAGTTCAGAAATTCAAATTTCTGTATTTTACTTGATCAACTACCATTTGTCTTAAGCAATTCATTAATGAGGAGAAATAATGAATGGTTTCATCTCTGTACAAGTTTCAATTTGAGATGCTCAAAAGAATATAAATAGCTGTTTTGGCTCTCTTTCTTATTTTCTCTTTGCTTCAAAATTTTGATGATTGAAAGAAAATCTGAAAAATCGCAATCATTGTGCACAAAATCACTTTCAGATTGCCACTGCCAATGCACCTTTTCACTATTTTCCCATCTGTTCTTTGCGCTGTTTTCGTGGTCCAAGTAAGTGCTTCTTCTAAGTCAAAGAAAATGTATCTGAAGTCTCGCTTCTAATTATTCATAATTTTATTTTCAGGCTTGTCCATCATCACGGAATTCAGCGGTAGGACCCCCGGGACGAAATGGACGAGATGGAATTCCGGGTGACCCGGGAGCTCAAGGTCCAGATGGTCCACCGGGAGAAAGAGGACCTCCAGGAATCCCAGGAGTGCAAGGTGAGAAAGGCGACAGGGGAGAGTCAGGACCGCAAGGACCTAAAGGCTTGCCAGGAGAGCCAGGAGATGAGGGGGCCATGGGCGGGAGAAGATGAAAGCAACAGATTGTGGATATCAGAACAGTCCTTCTCAGTGATATCACTTCTCTTACTTCGTTGTGAATTTATTTGCTCCTTTGAAGACATTTGTTTTGACACAATCGAATTATTGAATGAAGAGCTTTTCTTCTTCGATGCGCTTATACGGTTATTTTCCAATTTTTGAATTGACCGTTTCAAGATTGGAGAGAGCATCGTTTGAATTATTCGTTGAAGGAATGCCTCGGAAAGATTAGTTAGACGTTGATGATCACTGAATTAATCATTAAATTGACAGCTTTTGGCAATAACTTATTATCAATATAAATTTCTATGAATTATTTACATCACTTTGACCATTTTATATTATAAAATAATTTCGAATTTCCAACAGTTTTTGTTTGCACCAATCTGTTGTTGATGTATTGTCTTTCCCATTATATATCAGAAAAATCGTCGACTTAAAATTATAATCGATGTTTTAATGAAATTTGCTATAGCATGAAATGTAAACTTTATTTTCTAATTACAATCTCATTATTGTGAAACATTTTCAGTTAATTTTCGCAAAATTTATGAAATCAATTTATTTTCTGAACTTCATTAAATTTGTTTAACACGTGATCTGATAGTCCTAAACAACTTCACACCTCCGAGTGAGAGGCGTTTTTCTTTGTCAGTAGCAAAAAGAAAAACTGATAATGAAATTGGTTTCAAATGATGTAACACAGTACAGAAGGATCATTACGGAAGGAATGAATAGTGAAAATGTTATTGCCTCTAAGTTTATTTCAATTAAAAGAAGACGAGCAATGAATGAGCGAGCCCGAAAATGTTAATTTGAATGAATTGAAACAAAAAAGGAATGTATGAATACAAAATCGAGGAAGTGAATAATCAGAAGAAAAGAATTCGTTATAACTAAAACAATAATAATTTTGAAGAATAGAAAGGTGATATCTCATGGATGTTACATCAGACCGAAAATCTGAATAATCATCACAAATATCACTTGGTCACAAGAATGACGATCACACTGCTCATTTTTTCAGCAATTCAGGCAAACTGATCAACGTGATCAGAATACAAATAATAAAAGGGTGCAAATTACAATGAAAAAAGACGGTAGAAATGAATGAAAAGTTGAATTTACTGAATAATTGTCATTCCGTTATTACAGTTTTATTTCGACAAACGAGCAAACAAATTTGCATTTTATGAAAAGCAATAAGATTTTCAAGGCTTCGTATAGGTAAATGTGAAGATAAATATGCACCAATTATATATCAACCTTTAACATATCTGAAATTTCCGCCTGACAATAACAGCGTTGTACACAATGAAGGAAAAATACTTTATTTATTTCAAAATTGGTCAAATCTCAAAAAGTTTTTTCGCTATATAATGAAGTATAAGATTGTGATTTGCAAGTACAATGAAGCATTTGCTTCGCTATACTTGCAAATCTCATGCTCCAATGCTTTAAGCAAATTTGTAAATGCACCGATAATGATTTCAGACCACGATTTGATTGGCGCATGCCTTAAAAAAAATATGCACATAATTTGCAAAAATGCCACCAATTATGCCCTTTCTATTTCAAAAGATCCATTGAAGAACTTACTTGGACTGCAAAAACAGCGCAGACGACTGATAGCAAAACACTGAAAAGATACATTGTACTGGCAATCTTAAATCGACTGTCTGCAAGTGGCTGGAATTTCTTAAATTTCATTTTAAATCATAAATTTTTTAATTCTTTCAAATGTTGCAGCGGACGGAATAAAAAAGGCTGCTGAAAGTGATATTTAGGATCCGCCAGAGGATTAATCTGGACAGGACTTTTTTTTTATTACTTTCTGAACAAATCATGCTTGAATGAAAATCAAAAATCCGCTGAAAAAATGTAAAAAACAAACCGAAATTGATTAGTAAGAATATAATTTACAAAATATATGTGACAGAAAGTTTTAACACCTAAATGAAATTTGATGAATCCAATTTCAAGGAGAGATATTCAATTTATGTTGAAAAGTTAAATGTCTGATGTGATTCTTTCCGGAATTCACAACAAGAGAATATTTCGAGAATTCTTTGTGAAATGGTCGCACGGAATATAACAAAATGTGACATGAAGTGATTAGCAACGCTGTCTATGAATGATCTTTTTACAGGATGATTCAAAATGAACGGAAGGAAGATCCGATCCGAAAACCCAACAGGATCAATGGAAGAAACGGCTCTCGAATCTTCAGAAACAAAAACTGTTTGGTGCTTATTATTTGCAGATTAGCTTCTCAAATTGTTGACATGTGTGAAAGAAATTGTTAAAACTCATGTCCAAAATTCCAATACAAATCGAACATTTCTCCTACAATTTCGAACCGTATACTAATGCGTCTCTTCAGCACTTTCCTATTAGCCATGTGTGCTAAGTACCTGGTGGAAGTATGTTTCTGTGGATCGGCTGTATTAGACTGAAAAACTGAAACACTGATGGCAGACGTCGTTTATGTCCTCTACCGTTGTTAGCAATTCTAGCAGATCCGTCTTCTATTTTAAATGCAATGGCCTCATTGTTCTTCAATGAACTATCTGACCTGAAATAAGTCCTGAGGTAATATTACTGATCATTATTTATTCCTTGTGCAATGTTCCTTCTTCACTTTATCACCTATTTCGAATGAATTTATCACCACTATAGCTTTGAGATTTCTAAAGCAATGGAAGTTTATGCAAGTTGATCGATTGCAAATCACTTTGTGCATTTCAAAATTACATTTCAGATGGTTTCGGGTTATCTCATACATTTGCCGATTTGCTTTCCACTACTGAAACAAAACTGCGAATGTGTGAGTGCAGCAAAATTACATTGTTTTCATGAATGCGAAAGGTGAAATCGTTCAAACGTGTATTTGAGGTTTTGCAGAAATGTCAGCAAATTGAACACAGTGATGCAACAAAGATAACGCAGCAAAGAAATGCGATATCGCTGAGAGGGAGTGCTTCGTCGTAGCTCCGTTACGGTTCTTTCTATCCTCCCATCTGTCCTCTTATACCCTGAAGTCCCGTGTCACCTGCCTCTCCTGGATCTCCCACTTCCCCTTCCTCTCCCGGCTGACCTCTAGGCCCGGGCTCTCCAGGCGGGCCTCGCTCTCCTGGTGGTCCTTGAGGTCCTTGCGCTCCTGGATCCCCTCGTTTTCCTTCACGTCCAACTCGTCCCGGTAGTCCTGGCGGTCCTCTCTTCTTCATTGATCCGCAAGCCTGAAAATAAAATTTGTACTCCAAGTTATCTTTAAACACGAATTTCGGCCTAAGAAACAATATATTGGCAACTCACTTGGACTACGAAAACGCATGTAGCCAATAGGAAGGTGCCGAGAAGATGCATTGGTGCTGGCAGTCTGAAGTATTCGACTTTTGATCTTTGAAAAATAACCTTCTGAAAAGAAATCTTACACGAATGAAACCATCCTTTTACTTCTGCTCCTCAGTTCTTTAGGGCAAACGAACTAATCGATTTGATGAGAATACAGAAATTCTAATCAAAAAATATGATACCATTGATTATGTAGGAAGAAATGTTAATATTTAAATTGAAAATCAGTGAAGTGAATTTCGGACAGAAATTTTATATTTATATTGAGAAGGATTTGTTTCCAGAATTCATAAAACAAAAATTCTTTGTGAAAAGCTCGTCGCATGGAATAAAATAAAATGCAACATTGAACGATTATTAACGGTATCTGTGAATGCTATTCAGCTCTTTTTGCGATGATTTAAAGTGAACAGAAGGAATATTTGGTTCACTGATAGATGATCCGCGATAAAGAATGGATTTGCATGAAAGAAACAGGTTTTGAACCTTCGAAAAACAGAAGTAATTTGAATATTTACTTGGTGCAGGTTACTTACAGATTAATTATTCTTCAAGAATTTCCGAAATTCCTTAAATCGTTCAATTTGACCTGCTTTCTTCTCAATGGCTTCAAATGAAAGTCAAATGTCCGGATCTTGTCATTGTTTATTCAACTTCGTTCTGCCAGGTTTCATCCATCATCGAATGGTCTCCATTTGTATAACCTATCTTGATTCGGTTTTCCAGCAGGAACACAGGATAATCTAATTTTCTGCTGTCGTAATAGCAAAATCATATCAAATATTCAACTTTTCAATATAAACAGAATATTTCTCCTTGAAACTCAATTCATCAAATTTTATTTAAATGCTAAAATTTTTTGTCAAATTTTAAAACTTTTTGGGGAGTTTTCTAAATTAAGACTTATTGCTAACACTTCAGCAATTTCTTTCACGTATGCCAAAGTATTAAACAATTCGAGAGGCTAATCTGCAAATAACAAACACCAAATAATTTTTGTTTCTGAAGATTCAAAACCCGTTTTTTCTATCGATTTTGTTGGATTTGATTTTCTATCAGTGGATCGGATCTTCTTTCCGTTTACTTTGAACCATCCTGTAAAAAGGTATTCATAGACAGCGTTGCTAATCGCTTAATGTCATATTTTGTTGTATTCCATGCGACCATTTCACAAAGAATTCTCGAAATTTTGCTTTGTTTGTGAATTCCAGAAATAATCATATCAAACATTCAACTTTTCAATATAAATTGAATATTTCTTCATGAAATTCGATTCATCAAATTTTCTTTAAGTGTTAGAACTTTTTTCACATTTTATGCTTTGGGATTTTTTAAAATTATGGCTCATGAATTATGGTCTTGTCTAAGGAAATAAGGAATATGAATAAAAAGAGTCCCATCCATGTAAGATTTCTATACGCAAATGATTTTCTAAAAAAGCCTAAAAAGCTCTTTTAGCAACCTTTCTTATTCCATTGTTGCAACATTTGAAAGCGTCAAAAATTAAAATGTTTAAAATGAAATTTAAAGGATTTATACCATCAACAAATTTAAGAAAATTTGCAAAATATCAACCACTGTGCACAAGACAATTTCAGATTGTCTATGCATCTTTTCAGTACTTTCATATTGGTCATCTTCATTGTTGCCGTGGTCCAAGTAAGTTCTCAAATAGATTGTTTCTTTAAAAAAAAGTATGTTTCAATGCAATCTGCAAATATCAAATATGCTTAAATTTCATTATCAGGCTTGTGGCTCGAAAGGATCACCAGGGCCTCCAGGACTAGATGGACAGGAAGGGAAACGAGGTGACAGAGGACCGCCAGGACGTGAGGGACCAAAGGGAGAGCAAGG